GTATTTATGTTCTTATACTTAATTTATATCCCTTAGAAATTTATTTGTATGATGAAGGACTTGCTCGTTTTGCTACAGTTGATTATAAAGCTCCATCAACTGAAAATCTTCATGAAACATTTATGCATTTGACAAATTATTCTTTAAATAAACGTAGTTCTAGTTATAAACATCCTGTTGATGATAAACAAACAGATGGTAGTAAACGTAAATTAAGTCTTGTTTGGAAACAATTATGTGAGATGTTTGGTAAAGAGAAAATCGAACGAACGAAAAGTTTAATAGTAGAAATGATTAATAAAACAATATTGGCTATTTTACCTGAACTTCGAGTTGCATACGAATTTGAATTACCATTAGGAAAAAAACAAAATCTATCTTGTTTTCAAGTAAGATAAAATTAGATTTCATATATACATATATATATATATATGCATGCTTTTTTGGTTAAATAGATTATTGGTTTTGATATAATACTTAATGATCATTTAAAACCAATTTTACTTGAAGTCAATTCAAATCCTTCACTTAGAATTGATTTTGATAAAAATGAAGCAGGTAAACTTATAAAATTTATCATTTTAACTTTCACATCAATGATTTCGATGGAAACTTCGAAAAACGGTAAGAACTTGAAAACAGGAATATATTGATTGAATCGAGTGTCTTGCTCTCCTCGGTTATGATCATTCCCGATCAGAAACAGATCCGTATATCGTCCTAGTTCTTACCATTTTTCGGAATTTTCTCATCAAAATTAACTGATAAGCATTTAACTGAACTTTCAAATGAATTATTAATAGGAAAAATCATTTATCAACCAAGTCCAATCGATGAAGAAATTAAAAAACCTTTAGTTCTTGAAACTCTCAAAATGGCATTACCTAAAAAGAAGTTAGATACAATGTAAGAAAATCAATTTGTTTTCTGTTACTAATAATTAATTAACTATAATTTAGTACACGCCATGCTCAAATTCAAGTTAATGATGAAATCATGGCTCAACGTGTTGAAAAAGTAGCACAACGTCGTCTTGTAGAACGAAGTGAAAAAATAAAGAGTGCAAGAAAAACTCGTTTTGATATGAAATTAAATCCATTTTTTTCCCGACCATTAGAAAGTATAGCAAAAGAATTTGTTCGTCAACAACACGGGCATCAACAATTTGAACAACAAAAACTTAATAATTCTTCTCCAACACATCCAATTATTTTATCTCAATCAAGTGAAGATTTAACAGCATATACATTTATTAATCATAATAATAATCATCATCATCATGATCATGATCATCACCATCATCATCAGGAACCCATAAAGTCCTATAGAAAAATTATTAATAAATCAAAACAATATCGATATTCTACTGATGATGATGATGATGAAAGTGGTTCACCACCAGCAACAACTGTAAGTGAAGGTCATTCATCAACAAATACAAAACAACCTTCGATTAAATCTCCATTAAATCGTTCGGGAACAACGATAGATGCAGCTATGATTAAATCAATAAATACGTTAAAACTTATTTTTCCAACAGATCATCATAGAACAAAATATCGACAATTATTTTTAGTTGATAATATAGCTTATATTTATATTCATCTTGTTGTTATGTTAGGATATAAAACAATGACGGGTGGACAATTTCGTAGTTTTGCTAAGTAAGTTGAAAGTATTAATAACAAATAGATATACATAGAGATTTTTATTTTTAATTATTTATTAGTATATGTGGAATTATTAATGAAACAATAACTGCACCATCAATTGATATACTTTATTATCAAATACTTAGAAAATGGCAACAGTTTGTTGTAAGAACAACTTTAACAGGTAAACTTTACATTAATGAATCCTTTACCGTCTAGTACTAATTTAGTAGATTTTATGCTGAGTAAATCATTTGAGTAGCTTATCCAAGTGCTATTTATAACACCGAATCCAAATGTTATGTTCGTGCTCGGTCTTGAATACAGTCATCTTGAGTTATTTTAAGTAAACCAAAAGGAAGGCTCTCATGATTGACTATGATAAGCCTGATAGACAATGGAATCTGTTGGATTAGTTCTGGCTCTGGGTTCAAAAATTTTGGGCCCAAAGGACTCTAATACACCATGAGATAAATGACTCAAAAGCTGAAAGGACAGCCGGCTGCCTAGAAGAAAAAAGGTTAATCATATTCGAAAATATCCAAATCAAACCTATGGATCTTCCCATAACCGTCAATATGATTCAAAAACTGTTTAAAACAACTACCAAAATACTTGACGTATCCTGAACTCCGAACTGGAGTTCAGGTTCACTGCAAGCCTAGTATAGTTCAATTTGAGCAAATTCATTTCATTGTGGAGATGTAAAATGAGTCATAAAGTATCCACTCATCTTGAATGAGATGAAAATCTAATTGATTTGATTTTCTTTTGCAGTTATTTCATCTGTATTAACTGAAAACCTACTTATCATGAATACGTTTTTGACAAATGTGAATCATTTCGGAAGATAAGATATGGTGAGGCACTTGAAAAACCGACTATAAACCGTAACGAATGTTTCTAGTTTCTACTTTTTATATTGATAAGAAAATATTCAAAAACGGTTGTACAATGCTTTTCGACAGTCTAGAATAAAGTTTTTAGCATGAAGATCATACTATTTATAGGTATACATCGAAAATATAATCATTTTTCAGCTTACTCACTATGAATGGAACAACAGGGGGTGGGGGGGGGGGAGGAGGAGGAGGTAAAAGGTTAATGTATATTGTTGATAAAAGAAAATATTGATTGCAATCTTATAAAAGAAAGTTGAAAAAATAGTTTTCTTTCAAGTGATACTTCTATATTATTTATATCTTCTAGGATTACCATTTGCAGCATTTATTGAAGCATTTTTTCTTTTATCACAACGGAAATTTCCGAATGCTCAGGATTTATTTGATAGTGTTAATCAATTATTAAATATTTGTATTCGTCATTTAAATTCTGCTTTGCAACGTCCAACATCTCCATTAATTCATCAATCAAATCAATATCTTCTTCATCGTTCTGCTAGAAATCATAATACACCAAATTCTTCATCATTAAATATGCGTCCAAATGTTGGCTTGGTTCGTTCACCAACAACAACATCGATGCATCGTCCTGTGATTGTACCAACATCTGCTCCAGTTCCACGAAATCATAATCATCAAAATAATTCATCAACAAAACCTATTGATGATAAAATAAAACAAAAGATGATGAAACAATCAACAAAAAGTGTTTTTCCTCTTTTTTTTGATGTTCTATAAAAAAAGAAAGATGCATTTTTATTTTGCTATGAACAATAGTCGAACGATAATACTGAATAAATTTTACGATGTATTTTATTTATTTATTGGAACCATATTGTTTAACAGAGTTTTATTATAATTCGATCAATAATTTTCAAAAGATTGATTTTCTCGATTTTAAATAGTTATAAGTTTTCTATCAATTAAACCATGGATTTTTGATTACGTATAAGTGTGAAATTGTTTACAACTCAGTCACTTAAAAGTACTACATTTCTTATGCTTTAGAATACAGTACTGCAATTTACGAATCGGATACTTTAGTAGGAATATGAAAGATATTAATAAGTGTATAGCACATTTAGAGCGCGTCAGGTCGAAAATTTTCGGACCGAGACACGGTCGAACCAAAATACTTTGATGCTCTCAATGAAATTTTCTAATCGGAATTGGATAATCACCCAGAAGACACGAGATAGTTTTTTCCAATTTTTGTTGTATTCGGTGACTAGTGCACCCTACATACTTCTCAGATGCCTAGAGTTGATCCGACAAATTCTACACACAGATATGAGAATTAATACTTGTACAGTACCAAATAGACTGAATTTTGAAAAAATCAAACACATTTATTGATATTCTAGATGCTTCGTTGCATTATTTCATTTTATTCGAAATCAAAATTAAAAAAATATGGTACATATTTATTGTGAACTATTGTTCAGAGCCAAGTGTGAGGACGATGAAACAGGAACATATTCATTTCTTGAGAATCAACATAATGTTTAAATCATTCCTTTCACAACGTCATGTTTGTATAATTCTGTTCTTTTCCATATGTCTCAAGCTATTCTTCTGACGATGGTAAATGTATTCTGCTCGGATACAAAAGTAGTTCGACTCTACAAACCGTCGCTCATGACTCATGTTATCATTATTCATTGTTTTATTCGCTAAATGTTTTTGCGTTGCTTTAATTGTTTTCTTTCTTCAGAAATTACTTGTAATCAACACTATCATGATTAGAGAATTGCATAAGGCGCAAAATTAAAACATTGATAAGAACAAACTACAAATTTATATGTTACGGATGAAGTCTAGCATCTATTCGAAAAGTGATATCCATGTAACATTCTACTTTACAATGATGTGTACTAGCAACGCTCTATCTTTTCTCTATGAAACAAGATACTCTAGGGTTTTTTAATCTAATGACCAACAATAATATTTTTCTATCGATCATAATTATATTTTTTCTTATAACAAAATCTAATAATTTTTCTAGACGCTTCCGATCTAGGATATAGAAATTTTATTTATATATAATCAGTGGTTATTTATAACTACTTTATGAATTCATAAGAATGATAATTCTCTTTATTTATCTGTTTGCAATAGAGCTATGAACAATCACACACTGAGTGAATATAAGAAACAAAAAAAAAAGACGGGTGTGATGCTTGGCGAGTAAGAGTCAAACAAAGACAAAAGCAGTATTAATGGTAGTAATAATAATAATGATAATGATAACAGCAAAAACAAAAAAAAGAGCAAATTGCACGACATATCCACAGCACACAAAGCAAAAAGAAAACGAACAAAAATGTTAGGAAAAAAAACAAGTCTTGTCTGCATTTAAGACAAACAATAATAGTAGAAAATAATGAAATGAGATATATTGCACAGCAAAAAAAAACGAAGTAAAACAAAAACATGTTTTGCTTGTTTATGATACAGATGAATCAGCCATCATTTTTTGTAATTGATGACATTTATTGCGTTCATCAGCCAATTTTTCTACAAATGAAAAGATTTAAAAATTGTCTATTGGATGAAAAAAAGTACCTTTAAGTTTATCAACTTTAATTTGTAATTTTCCAACATCTGTTTCAGCTTCATCTGTTCGATGTTGAGCCTAAATCAATAAATATGAACAAAAAAAAACATCATCATTTTGAGAATTTAAATTTATACCGCTTTAAGTCGAGATTGTAAATCTTCAAGAGTTTTTCGATATTTTTCTTCCGTCGCCTGTGCCTAGCAAAAAAAAGAATTTTAAAGGTAAACAAAACAAATTAACATATAATAATCTTTACTTTTTCTTCAGCTTGAAGTAATGATTTCATTTCTACATATGCATGTCGAATATCTTTTTCAAGTGATGCTATTCGTCTATAATTTTTAATTATAGAACATTATCATTCATTTATTTCAAACTTACTGATCTGCAATAGTTGACCGACGTTCAGCAAGTTCAAATCGTTCTTGTAATTCATTTAATTTATTTGCAGTCTATTAAACAAAAAATAACAAATCTTTATTAATCAAATTCAATTGTTTTACACGATCGATTGAAGAGAACAATCCCTAATTTAGGCATTGAGTTGGGCCAGAAATAGAGATGTATGGAACCAAGGTTTTTTGGTTCGATCATAGTCTCAGTAAATCTGGTCGAGTCCTGCCCGGTAGTTTCTATTGTAGTAAATCGTGGATATAAAATTGGTCCTGTACATCTCGAATTCAGAGATTCATTTTAATCTATAGAAATAATATCTATATTATTGGAGTTAGTTTGGAGCAGAAAATTCATTTTTATCAGAAAAACATATGATATGAAAATGAATTTCCTAGTCTAGCCTAGTGCAATGCAACACTATGCATATGATTTCTATATGTTATTTATATTAAATTGAATTTCCTGATACAGTCCGAAGGTATTCACATCATTTCTATATTTTTGTTACATTAACATTAATCTCTGGTGATCATGTCTCAGGATATTGAATAGAATTCCCATGAAGGTATTTTTTTTCTATAGTCATTTCACTTGAACTTCCTGGAAAAAGGCACTCATCATATCATGCAATAAAAATATTAATTTTACTTCTTGAAAACGTTTGTCAGTTTCAATACTACATTCTTTTGCTTTTCTTAATTCATCATCAAGATCAATTTCTTTGTCTTTAACAGTTGTTAATTTATTTTCTAGACTTGTGCAAACACTAAAATTAATATATAAAGTTTTAATGAATGAAGAAAAACAAAAATTCAAATAAAATTCATACTGTCGTGCTGCTTCCGATACTTTCATAACTTCAATTAATTGTGTTGTTACATGATTAACACGAGCTGTTGCATTATCAAGATTAACTTCAACTAATTGTACTTGTCGACGTAAATGTGCTGCTTCAGCTTCAGCTTCAATTCGAGATTGAATTTCTTTTTCAAGTTCTGTATTAATTCGTCTTTGTTCATCTCGTGTTATTTCTAAGTCTTGAAATAAATTCACAATTTTTTCTCGAACACTTAATGGCTGTTGTTGTTGTGGTTGTTGTGATACATCATTTAATAATGTATCAGAAATTTTTGGTGTTACATCAATTGTACTTGACATTTTTTCGATAATCAAGAAAAAAATTAGATGTGTTTTCTGATGAGGTCAAATATTTGTTTATTTTAGTGTTAATCGATCAATCGATCGTTCTTCTTTCCCAAAATAGGAACAGCCAATGAATATTTTTTTAAAAATTTGTTTTCGAACGACATCTGTTATTCATCGTCGCTTAGAAATATAATGCTTAGTAACAATTTTTAACTTACCACTAAAATGGTATCAAACATTTGAATAGCTTTTTTAGATTAAACTATGTCGAGAGAAGGATCACCAAGAGAAAACCCAACAGATGAATCTGCATCAAGTATTAAGACAAAATTATTTTGCTTTATTTTTTTATTTTTTTATTCATTATTTAGCTCAACAACCTTTATCAGGTATGGATGCAGGATCTCTTGATACTCAAGGTAAATAAATAAAACAAAAAAAATTCTCATTGCTAAAAAAATAATTTTTATAGTCACACCGGATGCACAAACACAAGAAGTTTTAAATTCTGAAAACGAACTTTGTAAGTTAATGTTTTCTTCTTTTGTTGTTTTTTGAATAGAAAATATTCAAACTTATTATTTTATTAGCTACCTCAATAACACTCGATTCAACTCAAATGCCACCACCATCAGAAACAACTCAGGAAAACAAGGAAGAAGAAGATGAAGAAGGAGATAAACAAACAACACAAATTGATCAACAAGATATTCAACCAGAAGAAATTACAACAGTTAATGATAATGAAAATCAAGATATTGTTGAAAAACCAGAACGTGAAAGTCCACCAAGACTTCCAGATACATTCTATTATGAGGCAGAAAAAATTCATGCAAAACCAATAACAACAAATGAAAAGACATTTCCGGAAAATACATTATCGATGTTGTAAGTTCAAATTAATTAATTAATTGTTTATCGTCTATTCGAACGTTGTTAAATTCATTCATAGAAATTATCTATTTGAAGTAATAAAGCCTTGAATCGAGTCTGTTACCGATTATTGTCTCGAGTCTTCAATAAGCTACAAATTAAACGTGGTTTCATTAGTCATTGACTAAAATGATTAGTTTGATGTTTGTAAGGTTGATATATACTATTATGGACGTAATCTATCTGTAGAGTAGTTTCTAAAAATTTTCTTGATTACAGATTTGAAAGTAGCATTGTTCGTAACAAATTTTGATACATTTATAGCGAATAAAATGAAACATTTTTTTAAATTTTCGATATAAACCCTTCAAAATAACACGATATACATGCTAAAAACTCTAATAGGAACTGATAGCCAGTCGAAAAGTATTTCCCGATCGTTTTTAAATAATTTCTTATTGAAAAAAGATCGAAGCATGAAGTTTTTGTTATAGTTTTTTATCATTGGGATAAGGGTTTAAACAATAGAAATCGGCGATTTCGAATCAAAATCAGAACTAATGATCCCAGCACGAGACACAAAATGAGAGAGTTGATTTCAATCTAGAAATAGCCTTCTTTGCTTATATTTAACCATATACGTATCATCGTCCGAAATGAGTCATTTTTCAAAAAATAATTCATAATAAGTAGCTTTCTAATTGCACACAGATAAAATAACAACTGCGAAAAAGTGTAAATTAATTCAATTTTTATTTTATTTTTTGCTAAAATTTTACTATATGAGTATCTCCATAAGATATTCCTGTAGGTGACTGAATACGAACACTATTGGATTAATGCCAGAGAACAAGAAATTGAAAAAAATAACTTATTTATTATTTTTTTCTAGTCGATCATTTGCTTATGATTGTCATAAACGTGGAAATTTACATATATTGGATAATAAAACAGTTATGTTTGTTGCTGCTTGTGTTGTTGAAATTATCGATTTATCTAGTGGAGAACACCAATATATTCGAACAACGGGCGGTTATAGTATTGGAGCAGTAGTCGTAAGAAGAAAAATAATTAATTCTTTATTGATAATTTATTGTTTTGCTATTTTACAAAAAAAACAAAGGTTCATCCAAATAGACAATATTTTGCTGTTGGTGAAAAAGGTGATATGCCAAATATAGTTATATATGAATATCCATCATTAAGACCTTATCGAATATTAAAAACTGGAACACAACGTTCTTATGCTTATCTTGATTTTAAGTAAATAAGAAAAAGAAAAAAGCTTGAAAATTAAAATGAAAAATATATAAATATTTGATTATGTTTAGTACTGAAGGTGATTTACTTGCTTCACTTGGTTCAAGTCCAGATTATATGTTAACAATATGGGATTGGCGTGATGAAAAAATTTTATTACGTAGCAAAGCATCATCACAAGAAGTTTTTAAAGTATCATTTTCAAAAGATCTTAAAGGACATTTAACTACATCCGGTATTGGTCACATCAAGTAAGATTAAGAGAAAAAAAGTTTTTTTTTTTTTTTTGAAATAAATAAAAGAAAAATTATTATAGATTCTGGAAAATGGCTCGAACATTTACTGGTTTAAAATTACAAGGTGAATTAGGTCGATTTGGACGAACAGAAATTTCTGATATTGAAGGTTATCGTGAATTACCAGATGGAAAAGTACGAACTGATATTTAAATAATTGATTTAATAATATAAATTTTAGGTTATTTCTGGTACTGAATGGGGTAATATGTTATTATGGGATGGTGGTTTAATTCAAATAGAAGTTTGTCGTAAAAAAGGCAAACCTTGTCACAATGGTGCAGTACAACAAGTACTTTTACATGAAAGTGATGTATTTACTGTTGGTGAAGATGGTTATGTACGTGTTTGGGATTTTGAAACTATTGATACAGCTGAAGCAATTGATGAAGGATCAAAAATGGAAATAGAACCATTGAATGAACTTCGAGTAGGAACAGATAGTAAATTAATGGGAATTAAACGTGGAGTTGTTGATGATATGAGTCTGTGGTTTGCTCAGGTAAAATTTTGTATAGAAATTAGTTTATTACAGGTTATTTTTTGATTATTTTCTTTAAATAAATAGGATGCAAAAGGAAATATCTGGAAATTAGATTTAACATTTTCAAAAAATAGTGTTGATCCAGAAGTTCTTCTTTCATTTACATCAGGTGCGGTAACTGGTCTTGATGTTTCATCTGTTTATCATACATTTGCTTGTTCAGCGAGCAATAGTAAGAATAATATTATTTAATTTAAAATATAAATTAATCTCATGATATTATTTTTCATATAGCTATTCGAATTTATAATATCTTTACACAAGAAGTTTTATCTCAAAAAACGTTTACTACAGGTGTTACTAGTTTAAAATGGCTTCCAACTGTTGTATGTTATAAATTAAATTAAAGTCTTTTTTTTTTGTTTTGGTTAAATGATATTTTGTTTTTTATTTATTTCAAGTTTGATGAAAAATCTGATGGAATATTAGTTGGATTTTCTGATGGTGTTGTACGATATTTAAAACTTCGTTCGGGTATTAAACCAAGCGGAACAGAAAAAAAATTTGAATTTGATTTACGAATGATACAAGTTCTTAAACCACATACAAAAGCAGTTACATTTATTACTTTAGAAGTTAAAAATCAATGGATAGCTACTGGAGTTTGTTTCTTTTTCATCTAAATGAATGTTTTAAATTATTTATGTTTTCTTGCTTAATTTTTTAGAGTGCTGATGGAACAGTATTTTTCTTTAATTTTACACCGAAAGGTTTAAATCCAATTGGTTTTGTTAATATGAAAGAGTCAATAACTTTTATGACATGGACACCAGCTCAATATGTAAGTTTTATTTAAAAGTAAATCATAGAAATTCTTCTTTTTTTCTAATTTAAAATATTCAGGATAAAACTCGTCTTCTTGTTTGTTTGAAAAATGGTGCTATTCATGAATATGAAGGACCAGGTGGTATTAAATTTGATACATCAACATCATATTTAATTGAAACACAATTACCTGTACGAATATTTCGTTTTCGAAGTATTAAATCTCGATTACGAGTAAGAACATTTTAAAATGTAAAGTCTTATGTAATTGGTTACAATGTTTGCCTTTTTAAGCATGAAGAAGAACTTGAACGAAAACGAAAAGAAGAAGAAGAACGACAAAGAAAATTGGAAGAAGAAAGACGTTTACGTGGTATTGAAAAGAAAGAAAAAGGTGAATATTAAACTATTTCATATTTAATTTTATCAAATCAAAAGAACTCAATGATTGATTTAGAATAAACAAATAATAGAGCTCTATGATCTATTAGGATTAGATATATAGAGAAAAAGCAGGTTTTAGCCAGGATCCCGATTAAAGCAAAACAAAATTTATCTCATTGACTACTGAAGAACTTTTGCTTATTGCACAAAAAATATTCTAGTAGTCTGAGGGGTAAGTCTCGGAAGTTTTTGATCGCACAACTCAGCATAAATTTTGTAAGAAACAATACAAAGTTAGAATATGTATCCTTACAAAAATGTAATACTACTAATGAGGAAACGTTCTCAGATGTATATGTAAGTGATGGACGTAAGTTTAGAGCAGTTGTATTTTTGAATTTTCTTCTTGACGAAACTGTCAACATAATTGCTTGGATGAGGGCTTGTGGAAAATCATGATTGCCAACATCAGTTTTCTAGCTTTCATACCTTTTGCAAATTCAATGGAGTTGGATTCAGGAAAGTCATGGAGAGGTCGAAGACATCTCATTTCGCTCTATGAAATAAAATCTTTCTCTCAAAAGCTTTGAATAGGACCTAGATAACTGACTTTGCAGATCTTGGTTCTTCGTAGACTCTCATCCGAGGAGTACTACTGAAGCCTTCACACCTACTAATTCTGATAGACAATCCTTTCAACTACAAAAATGCTTTCTTTTCAGATTCTTGGTAGCTATTCTCATCGAGAAGAAAACTTAAAAATACAGCTACTATAAACTTTAGTCTGCCATTAAATGCTTTCGACTTGAGAAATATGTACTTCCTAATGAACCTAATTCATTCTGAAGATTTCAATTTTTTTGGTTTCTCCAATTCTGAAATTTGAAAGTTTAATATTTTATGTTGTAATAGAAGAGAAAAAAATAATATTTTTTTTTCTTCTACTTGTGTGCAAGGCTAGAAGGCATTCGAAATTTTCAAATCTTCAAAACAAAACTAATCTCATCGATATCTCCCTCTTTGCAACGCATTATGTCGAAATTCGAAAATCGATTTTTCAACTGATCGTAAGAAGACACACGAACATTTTGTATGGTAATGAAAGTTCGATAGGGCTTATACAGTTTCGATTAGAGATGTGCGCCAATAGACAACCGATGATCTAAAAAATGCTAGTCATCGACTAAATAAAAGAATACGTGTAAAAGGATTTCTCAATGTAATACGAATAAATTTTGGAAAAGTTTTCTCTAGACCAGGACCAGATTAGATTTACTGAGACTAGATCGAAAAACCTTGAGCACACACATCTCTAGTCTTGATTCACAAGCGAATTGACATATGAGAATATTGCTTTGTAAATTAGAATAACATGATAATAAAAGAAATATTCTCAATCAAATGTTCTTATTTTAATATAAATCTAACAAAGAAACATCATTTTATTTTCTTTGTAGAAGGTGAACGACCAACTGAACAAGAAGAAGAAGAAAAACAAGAAGAAGATGATTGGAAACCATATATACCTGAAATACCTAGTGCTGCTTTATTTGCAGTTTATACATCTGCAGATACATTTTGGCTTTCTATGGTTCGTTTAATTATTTATTTTGTTTGGTTTATGTTTGTTATATCTTTCAATTTAGGATGAGTATGATGCTGGATATTTATATCATTGCCAATTTTCAAATAAAGATGATCGTTTTCAATATAATCCAGAACGACAAGATACTATAGTAAATACTTTACCTGTACCAAATACAGATTTAGCACATGGTGATGATATTCCATTAACATGTGTTCTTATTAGGTATTTTAGTTTATTTATTTTATTTTTAAAATTTCATTTGATATGTTTTTTCCTTTTTGTTTATAGAGAAAAATTAAATTCAATTTTTGTTGGTTTAAAAAATGGTTTTATACGTATTTATCCATATGCTGGTACACAAATATTTCAATCACTTGATGATTATTGGACAAAAGGATCACATGATACTGAATATGGAATGGTAACTCATTTAATTACATCATTTGATGATCGTTTTGCATTATCTGGTGGTGCTGATGGAAATATATTTGGTTATGTTGTTAAAGGAGATTTAAGTATTTTTCAAGAACAATTTGAAATACCTAAAATGCCAGCACATACAGTAAATAGAAAAGCCTATTATTGAATAAATAAATATTTGATTTCAATAGGGTGAAATTGAACCACAAGATATAACTGAACCAAATCATTATTCAATTGAAGAAGAAAAACAAAAAGCTGAACAAGATAAAATGAAAAAATCAGCTGAAGGACTGAAAAGTGAAATGCGACAAAGAGTAGAAGGCTTAAAAGGAAAATTTCGAAGATTATTAATAGAAAATGATCAATTACCTGCAGATTTAAGAATAGCTCGTCAAGTAAACAATTGAAAAACAAAACGAAAGCATTTTCTATTTTTTCTTTCAGGATTTTATTCTTGATGAAAATATTCGACAAAATTTTCTTGCTGAACTTCAAGATAAAATTGATCTATCTGCTAAAGAATTAGCATGGGAATCTGAACGTTGTAATATTGCATTAAGAAAATTAGAACAATGGTAAAAATAATAAAGTCTTTAGATAAGATTTTTGTTAATTTTGTGATCTTTACAAATATGAGCTTAGAAGTTTTCTACGAGAGTAATGAAACACAATAATTTCGAAGTATGGAAGGACAAACCCGATCTTTTGAGCATCGTTACTCTTCTAGTCTTTATGCTGGATAAAACACCGGTTTAAAGATGGACAGAAGCTATGCCTCTCCCCCCGCCCCCCGTCGCTCGTTATTTTCACTCGTCGAAAACATTCTCTAGCGAGACAAAAGTGAACAAACATCTTGTCTGAAAATTCCGGTTAACTGTTATTTTCGTTTCTTTTTTTCTATGAAAATCAATTTTCTTATTTTAGGTTTGTTGATCCTGTTGCTCAAGATGTTGTTTCAGTTAAAAGTTTTGATGGTCAATGGGAAGTTAGTACATTTCGGACAATTGGTATGAATAATATTTAATTAAGTTATTATTTATTTTGATTATATGTTTAATTAGAATTACCAAATGATTTTTATTCATTGCAAGAAGAACTTGAACGACAAAAAACTGCTTTACTTGATAAAGGAAAAAGAAAAGAGACTGCTGAAGCTTCTGGTAAAAAATTTAAGATAAATTTTTAATAAATATTTAATTAATTAATTTTTTTCTGTTCAATAGATGAAAAAGCTGGTGAAAGTCGAGAAACACGTACGACTGATTCGAAATCTTCAACAACAAAATTGAAAGGTGCTAAAGCAATGCGTGTTGAACGTTTACTCCGTAAAATGGAAGAACGTGCTAAACGACGGCAAAAACGAAAAGAAGAGGTTTTTTTTTCATTTCAATTATCTATATGTATCTATTTAATTGTATTTATTTTAGTGGACAACACTTTATCAAAAGAAAAAACCCGAGGGATATGAGGATCCAGTTGAAGTTGAAAATATTCGTTATGCAAAGGATAATATGGGAAATTATTTTTTGAAAACAGCATCAGATTATGTTGTACCAGTTGAACAACGGCTTACTGTTCTTCGAGCACTTGATAGAATCATGAAATTGAGACTTGCGGTAATTTAATAAATATAACAGTTTCAGATCATTTCGTAAGAAAAATCGAAGAAATTTCAAGGATTGTTTTTTTTCACAAGATTAATCAGAGTATTTATTCAATCCTGTGAAGTATGAAAATGGTAGGGAGATAGAGTAGAATTTTGGTCCGATTTCTAATTTGCATCATTAATCCTGTTAAAAAGCTTTAATGGTATGGATAATTGATATACTCTGTAGTACTCAGCACTATATCCTTCTGCAAGGTACTACGCTATCTTACTGAGCACTAGAGAGTGTATCAACTTTTCATAGAAATATGGCTTTTTAAGGTAAACTTGGGTTCGAACCGATATTCATGTAATCCAAACGAGATATAACTGGTATCACAGCTAAAAGATTAGAAGAATTTAATGAGCAGCACGATAGTTTTAACACGATATATGACAAGCTGTGAGGTAGAATTAGTTGTTCGTTTCACTAATGAGGGGAGTCTCGCAATTAATAAATCGCTTTGGTATCGAGACTATGTGCATTAAATAGATTCAAATGAGCTATAAATATCCTGAAAAGAATTCGTGTCATTAGATTTATTGATGAGGAGATACTGCACTTTTACGATTAGCTTTTAACTGAATGTTGTGTTTCCTCTCAAAACATTAGAAAAACTGATTTTCGAATTTCAACTTGAAACTTAGCATAGAAACAAGCCATAACTAGAGTAGTCGATTATGAAAACCTCAAGTCTTTTAATTCGCTTCAATTATATGAGCGATATAAAAGACATGCTATTACTATCATTGTATCTTATGACAGGAACAATGACAAGATCTGAAACATTCACAAAAAACTCTTCTCGTTAAGAGCTCTCTTTGTGCAAAATGTCAATTCTAAATTAAAAAACTCAGACCTCCTGATGTTTCTGTATTCATTTAAAAAATATCGTAAAACTGCAGTATTATCTCCATGATAATGAGCTAAGGATACGAACTCTTATCATGGTATTCATAGCTCATTTGGTTTTACATAGTTTTAAGTCAAAAGTGATTTCTCAGTAGCGAGACTTCCTTCGTAAAACATAGTTGTAACCAAAGATTTATGACCAATTTCGCCGTATCAGTGATTCTAACCTTAATACTTGAAAGTTCCTATTAAAGAATGAAAACATCATTTGAGAATAATTATGTTTAGACATATACTTATAAAATGAAATTTAACAAACGTGTTTTGGATCTTATTCAACGTAAACGTACTTTAACCGAACAAATTAATAGTGAAATTGAACGATTACGAAATCTTGGTCAAAATCAACTGAATTATCAAGACTTATTTAATATTCCTCTATTACCATCTGTTCAAGATGGACAAGAAAAGTAAAAAAAAAAAACAAAGACCAATAATAGTATCTTTTCAATACACGTTGTTTATTTATAGTCGTTTTCAGTTTACTCGTGAAGAAATTCAAGCATTTCGTGAAGAACATGAACAACGTAATGGTGATTTAACAAAACCTGATGAAGATTCATCAAAAATAAACACTCGTCAATCGTCAATAAAACGTCCAATCGATCTTCGTTGGTCTGTGAATTTAAAAGAACCATTACAATCGAATATTCTCAATAAAAATCTTTCTAATGAAACAACAAATGATAATACACCGATTAATATCTTACGAGAAGTAAAGAATCCTGAAAATTCAAATTCTGATACATTCACTTATCGGTTAGATATCAACATATAATTAATTCCAATGAGAAAAAAAAAAACTTATTTTTATTTTCAGATTATTTTTTGAACGTGATCGAATACTTGAAAATGTTCAAGAAATAATGCGTACATTTGATAATGATGTTTGTCTATTATATTATCTTAAAATAATAAAAACATTACGAGCTAAAGAAACTGATCTTCGATGTGTAACATTCTATGAAGAATTAATGTTAATGAAAGAATTTGAACGAACAGAAAATGAATTAGAAAATAAAGTTGTTGACGCACAAAAACGATTTGATAATGAACAAACAAAAGTAATTAAATAGTTTTATTAATTAAATTCTTTTGTTTTTTTCTTCTTTATTTTTTTTTTTGTATTTTAGATAAGTGAATTTAATGGAAAAATCGATGCGAAAAAAAAAGATATTGAAGGTTTAGATGAACGAATGAAACATATATATGCACGTTTTGATGAAATGATACCAAAAGAACATAAATTTTATAATTATCTTTTACGAGTTTTAAACAAAAAAATTAAACGAAAAAAACGTGTTGAAGGAGAAGAAGCAGAAGGTATTTATTAATAAATATATAGTTTATATTCATTAGATTTTAATAGACATTTTTTTATACATCATAATAGATAGAATTTCAGAAAAAAGAAAACATATCACTTAAGCATTTTTCATATGATTCAACCTGCCCGTAGACTGTTTAGTATTCGCCTGTAATAACAAAGAACCACTAGTATACCGATAAATAATTGATGATAGTGCCAACAAACGTGTAACATGGGATTTTAAAAGATTAGCTCATTTTTTGTTTTCGACATTTTGAAAAAAATTGAATTTGAGTATGAAGGTTGAAGTTAAATTTTGATTTCTATGAATTCAATGGTATAGGAACTTTGTGTGGAATTTTGTAGTTTACATAATAGTCATGTATGTTTGAATATAGAAAAGCCGGAACAAGGCGTTTATAATTGATTAACTTTGTGATCAAAGTTATAACCTATGGTGCGAAAGTCTTGATAGAAAAAATTTGTTCTGTTTAATTTTGAGCAAATATAATTGAATAGATTAAAAATTAGTGTTTGTATTTCATGAAAAAAAGGACTTTTTTTCTTCGTTATTGATAAGTTCTCTGGGCAATATTTTGAATTACTTTGAGACTCTCGATTAATATAGACCATTTAATTTTCTACAAGACTATGGATTACAATAAGATAGAGCTCGGAAAAAGTTTACGATTATAGAAGTTTTTTTCTACAAATGACAGCATTTTGTTCAAAATCGTCTTTTCCGAATTTATTTTTCTAGAATATAAAATAGATTAATATGTATTAAAAAGAAACATGTATTAAAAATTTTGTAAAGTGAAGTTCGTTCTAATAAACCGGTATATAAAAAAGATTTTCTGTCATTTGAATTGGGAGCGTTTTAATCAAAATACAAAACTAAATAATATGAATCATTTTGTACAGATGTCTTCTAGTGATCCAATTAAATAATGTCTAACGAGAGATTCTCTCCAACTTGAAGATTGCTTTTGATTTTGGACTCCTCATAATCGTTTTACTAAAGTTTTAGCTTATATTACAGTACGTTCAAAAGAATGGCATGATGATATGTTGATCTGAAATTTTATCCATAGATAGAGACATGTGTAATTAGAATGTCCGGAGAATTTAAGCTCAAAAGAATTTTTCCTTCACAAGATATTGAATTTCAAAAAGAAATATGATATCCTCGAATCTTTCGTGGAATGTGATTGATTTTTGAGAATTTAGTATCTCGTGAAGAAAACATTCTTTTGAACTGAAATTTTCAGAATATTCTAGTAATCAGTAAGCTTATTGATAAACAAAATTTCACATCAATATATCATCAGTCAATTCTTTTGTGTATATCGTGCTATAGAAAAGGTGATCCTACAACAGTGATAAGTTTTCTCACCATAATTCAAAGATGAATATTTCCTTCATTAATAAAAATCCATTTTAATTTAAAACATTTAAACTATATTCTTATGACTTTCATATTATAAATAAACCAAGTAAATTCTTATCATTCTATATTTCTCTTTATAAATAGATGCTGATGATATGTCCCAAGATTTCGATGAAGAAGAAGATTGGGAACTTGAAGATGATGAAGATGAAGATCAAATAGCTAATGAAGATGCAACACGACAACTTGATGTGGATATTTGTCCACCAAATCTTGATCAAAAAGTATATGATGATGTTGTTGCTTTACGTGAAAAACGACTTGATCTTGGTATAATTTTCAATTTTATTTATTTTATCTTATAAAATCTATTATTATTATTATTATTATCGTTTTAGATGAAGCAATAACAGATGAAAAAGCTGTTTTACAATCCTTACAACAAACACTTGGACAAACACAAATTTATTCGAATAAAATTGATGCTGAATTAAAAGCAAAACATGCTGATTTAATTGATTTTCAAGTAAACAAATACTAGAAAATAATTATTTGATATTATTTTTCTTTTGCAATAATTAAATTATTTGTTTGTTTTTTGTTATAGAAAAAGAAACAACGAAAAATTAATGATATTAATGTCGCTATTGGTATTCGTTCTCATCAAATTCGTTATGATCGTTCATCTAATTTGCCAGATGATTTATCAGATGCATTAATCTTTAATAGAATTAATAAATTAGGTTTAACAAATCGTATTGTTGATGTTAAAACAGAAATTAAACGAGAAAAAGAACGATACGTGTAAATAGATTCAAAGAAAAAGCAAATAATCATTTTTTTTAAATTTCTTTATTAAAATATTTTTTAGAAATAAAAAACAAGAACGAAAAGATTTATCACATGAATTAAAACATGCTGCTCAAGTTATAAAACTTTTAACTGATGAATGTAATAAATTAATGGTAGAAAAATTTGGTAAATTAGTTCAATTAGAAAGATTAGAAGGAGCAATTGTTAATTTACAAATCGAAGAACTTAAACAAAGACTTGATGATGCTGGAGATGAATATTATAATACAATGACACAATATGAGGTATGTCAATGAATTAAAAAGTTTTGATTTATCCACAGACTTTTTTTTTATTGCTCTATTTTTCCATATTGATAAAACTCAGCAGTGAAAATAACTTCTTAAATAGATATTTGTCGAACCAAGTTTCGTTTCGGTTCCGATCTCAGTCTAGAGAAAACTATTCTCGAATTGTGTTGTATTACATCTTAAAACAATTATTCAGTACTTATTTTTTCATTTATTTGTCGATGACAAGCCCTTTTGGGATCATCTCTTTTCAGTTCTGAATGGAACAACTTTTGTGGAACTCGCGTATATTTTCGGAGAAAATAGTGACTATAACTTTTAAGTCGAAGCTTTGCGCCCCATTCCCTCTCTTCTATTATGAATTTCAACAATCGATATCAGACTTCTTCTCCAGAGTTCCTTAGCAACGATAAAAAGCGTTGAACGATATGAGTTAGACTGTTCTAAAAAATTCGAAAGCGTTCGCTGAAATTCGAATGACTTAAATGTGCTTATGAATATTTTAAATAGTGCAATTATTGATGTTTTACGTAGATAAAAATTTATTCTTAACGTCTCACTGATCATGAGTAGTGATGCATTGATTTGTCAGTGTCATTTTGATTAAAATAAAAAGCGTGAATTGATCAAGATATATAATAATGCGTTAAGACCTACTGCTGTAGATATAACGGATATTTACAATAGCCTTATTTGACATTTAATTCAATGTTTATAATAATTTTAAATTAAGAAAAACAAAATACGAAATAGAAAATTAACTAGTGGATAGCTTCAATGAAAATGAAAAATAGGGCGCCCGTACAAAAAAAAGTAAATAAGATAGCTCCTTACTCAGATGATCAATCATCTTGGAAAACACCTATAGTCTACGAGAGATCTTTCATTTTACGTATATTGTATTAGCTTAATGAGGTGAAAGAACATATGTGAGTTCCACATTTCAGTTCTAAATAGACTTTACTAACAAGCTTTTTTCTCGTAGTCTCTGGACTTTTTGTTCCTTGTGATTTCAGTCCCCGCAAACTTTTTTCTTCTACTAAAAACAATGATTAAACAACATCTGAAATATTCATAATAAAATCTTAAAACTTTATTATCGAAAATATGTTATAGTGAATCATTTTTTTTATGAATATTGATTATTAAAAATCTATAATTTTTTAGCTTCGTAAAATTGAAGAACATGATGATACAATTGATTTATTAAAAACAAATACAAAACGTCTTGATGAATTAACTGATCTTGTTGATGAAAAACGTCATCTTGATGAACAACTTGTCTCACGCAAAACAAAAGCTGTTAGTTCATCTATAAAACTTTTCTTTTTTTCTTGTCTATTATGAAATTATTATTTTATTTCTGTAGGCTGATGAATTTACAGGTCCATCAAAACAGAGTATTGAAGAATTTGATCGTTTATGTACTCTTGTTCAATTACAAGCACAAGAAATTGAAGCCTTAAAAGCTGAAATAAGTATTTTATCACGTAAAGGTGGACATATTCTACCACCAAATCCAGCTATACTTCCACAAAATTCTTAAGAATGACATAAAAATCTTTTTTTTTCTTCTTGATATTTTTTATTCATCAATAAAATTCGAATATTCGAAAATACAACCGAAATTTTATTTACGTCGATTATTTTTTAAAACTTTTTTATTTTTACATGTAAATTTTTTTTTCAAATTTTTCTTCTTTTTTATTGCATTTCCATTTCGTTGACAAGGTGATTTATTTAAATCATTGTTATTAATATCTAATGTATGGCATGGAATTGTATTATCTAATTGATTTTCATTATCTTGCGGTTGTTGTTGTTGTTGAGAAACAAGTTCTTCAGCAGCATTAAGTAATGCTTGTCGAACAACATTAAGAATTTTTGATGATGATTGATCATTTGTATTGGAATTTATTTCAATCGATTGTAATGACGGTTGTTTCTTTTGTTGTATTCGACGATGAGAAACTTTTGATGAAATACGAACCATAATTAGAAATAGAAATGAAAATTTTTTCTTCAAATGAAAATGCGCGTAAGAAAAACAAAAGATGAAACTACATGAAGATAAAATAATAAAGTAAACAAAAATCACGCACACACACACACACACACAAATACAAAAGGCGGTCATTGCAATTTAAACTCGATATGGTGATGTTGTCGTTTCAATAGGAATTACACGTTCACCAATATTTGAATTATTTATTGGTGGACGTTGGGTACTAGTTGCAACTGTATAACTAGGTCGATCTGATGTATGTGTTGGTACACGTGTTGCACCAGTACTTAACATTGGTCGAGTACAAGCTTCGATTATAAAAAGTATACCAGCTATTAGAGCAAATGTCTATAAAGAAATTTTTTTTGTTCGTAATGGAATTAACAATTGTTTCTTTTGTTTTAAATGACTTACGGCTGCAGCTGCAGCTGCTCCAGGTCTTGGATGTGTTTCTTCATTAAAGACAATTTGATAATCGTTTGAAAAATATCCACGTCGAATAATGCCTGGTGTTCGTCTTAATTTATCTTCCCATAACGCAGCACATATACCTATTGATATCATCATTAATCCCATAATAATATTAAGAATTAAACACTAGATAAACAAATATAATTAATAAAAATTTTTTTGTTCTTACTTTTACTTTTCTTACTTACAATTTGATTTAAATAAGCAAAATTTTTTCCCGAATAACGTATACCATAGATATGCATGAGAAGAATAATAATTGTTATAGTTAAACAAAGCATAGCAAATGATTGAAATACATATCGAACAGCTACTGTATTTAAATCTGGATATATCCATTTGAAATTATCAGCTAATTCACAATATAATCGAGACGTGAATGCAACACTAATGAGTGCAGCGATTAATGAAACCTAAGAGAAAAAAAAATAAAGAACAGTATTTGTTTACTGTAATACTAAGATACACCATGTGGATATCATTAGTCATAAATTGCTCATGAGTGAGACTATCTAATTACTTGTTCGTATTTGGCTTAATTTATTATAGTTTTTTTTTTGTAAAAGTTATTAATCATGTTAAACTTTCTTGTTTACAACATATATATGATCATTTTTATTACTGATTGATTGACTTATTTACCTCATCAACCTATAGATATCAGAGATTGTTTTTACTGATTATTTGTTTATATATTAGTCTCTATATCAAGATGACATCAGACAAAGATTAAAAATAAATATTTCTATCTGTTATATTCTCGAATTATCAAAAATTCAAATCGCTTGTTCAAAAAGGTTATAATCAATCAAGCGAAACATATCTATTCGTTTTCTTTTTATCTTTATACAGATTGATCGACAATAAAAATCAAACGTACAATTTCAGCTATGTTAAGTATACCAGCTGGTGTCGACAAATATCCATAATCTAATGTTGCAACCATTTGTTCTAAAAGATAAGACTTTTATTTATGTATGCATATATTAATACGACAATGACGTTGAATTACCTTTCACCTTCTTTAAAACACAAAAGAGAGAGTAAATGAGCAAGAGTGGATGTATATGAATAAAGAAAAATAATAATCACGATTAACAAGACGTGCGCCTCTTTACGTCCTTGTTTATACGCGCATATAAACGTACGACCGATATCTTTTTCTTTTGCTCCCTTTCTTCTCCCAACTATACTATTCTTATTCTTTTCTACAATGGTGATTGGTCAAGGTTGTTCTGTTTCTTCACCGTTATTCGCCTTAAGGACCTATTTTAGTGCTCCTACTATCGATAATATTCTAATGCATAGACCTCTTGTGTATGGGACGTTAGTTTCCTAACATATACAACACGAGATATACAGACAGACAAACATACAGGCAGCCGAGTGCTTTCCTGAGAGTATCCAATAATTGTGTTTGTCGTTTTATTTGTTGTTGTCTAACACATGCCTACGATGATCCTTGACATCAAAGCGTCAGCATGAAGCTATTATCAATCCTGACTGACACGTCATGCTAGAGATTAGGTTGATGAGAGATTCATTCAGCTCCAGTGCAGATCAATAATATACACATGCATAAATGTATTAAGAGCTTTACCATATGTAAACAAGTTTTATATAATTGATATAAAAAAATAAATCGAAAACTATTCCTTTCAAATGAAACGAATCTTATAAATGAAAAGCGCCTTCGAATTATTTGTTATTATTATTTTGTCTTTTGAAATTCTATTTTGTTTGTAAATCGAATATCGAAAAAACAATTTTTTTTGTGTCGGTAATTTAGAAAAAATGAATCAGTATTTTTAATAATGCCAATTCTTACACTTTATGAAATATGTCTTAGAGATTTATTAAAAAATTCTTCTTTAAATCCAACTAGTTTAAATCAATTACCTATTTCATGTTTACGTGACATACTTCCATATTTATCTCCATATGAACTTGAACGCCTAGAGTTTATTTATCATAAACGACATATTCGAACAAATGATGTTTGGCGGCGTCACTTTGAATTAATCTGGTCATTATCACGCGATGATAAAGATTCTTATGAATCACTATTAGATATTCCATATAAACGTCTCTATTTTGAATATCTTTTTCATGATACACAAATTTTACAATTAGGCATATATACACATATATCACAGATAAATATATCAAAATCAATTATTAATCTATCATTTATTGAACAAATAAAATATAATCTAACAAGAGATTCAATTATTTATTGTTCAAAAAGAAGATTATTGGATGATAATCAAAATCTTATTATAATATGGAATCATCAATGGAATAAATATATCAAACGGTATTGATAGAGATTGTTTGAATTAGTGAATGATGAGTACGGATATTTGAGAGAGTGTGAATATGGTTGTGAATGGGGGTCCGCCATCAATTTATCCTATTGTAATTATTTTCGATTTGAATCCATATCAATTTTAGTCGATTTTCAATGCCCTTTTAGGATTGAGGATATATATATATAATACTCGTAACTTAAATTACCAAAACATCGATCTAATCGATAATAAAACACTAGTTGACCTATTCTAAGAATAAGAAAGAGGAAAGTTCGACAAATTATATATAGCAATCAAATCTGGTCGTACAATAAAAAGTTCTTTCGCGAAGACATAAAGCCTATCATCTTATGGTTGTTATTTATCTTCTTTCTTTCTTGTTTACATATGTCACTTACTCTTTCAACACATAGAAACAACAATAAACTACCGCTGCCACTCATTTTCGCTTATCTTAATTAGTTGACTAATGAGAGCCAAATTAAGGATGGACCGAGTTTGAAATCAATTTGTATCAGAATGAATCATATCCGAAAAAAACAAATATTCACACCATGCTCCTACTGTTCCTGTTTTCAGATTGTTTGAATAGAGAAGGTACCAATAATACAAAATTCGTATGAATTTTTTTCTCCCTCATTTATATATGGTTTGATAGAATTTGCCGAGCTACCACTAATATATAGTTTTTATTTCGATTCGATCATCGCTGGGTTGAAAAGAATCGTATTAAACTCTAATGACTCAAAAAATAGCATTGGTTACTATGGACTCGTTTTTTTATAGATATTGTCATATTTCGATTGTGTCACTTTTTCAAATTTCATGGAAACATTTTATTTTGATTCAGCATTGCAGAAACGTAGATCTGAAGGGACCGCAGTTGTATTTTCCATCTGATATAGTTTTTACTAAAACATGTATGATTCGACGTAGTTCTTTACGCATATTCCGAATATGTTATCTATATCGCTTTTTATTTGGACCAATCGTAATAACGGCAAATTCAATTTTTTACCTAGACTTTGTTGCTGAATAAGAATAAAATGTTTTCAAGTTCACAGTAACCAATGCTACATTTTTAGTCATTAGAGTTTTGTACAGTTCTTTTCATCCAAACGCTGGTCGAATCGAAATAATAGCTTTGTATTCGTGACCAACTTGGCAAGTTCTGTTGAACCATATATAAATGAAGGAGAAAAAAAATCCACTCGAAATTTACATTATTGGTACCTGAAATATTGTATTCTTCTCTTTCTATTTTGTTTTTTAGTTTTATTCTTGTACCAAATGTATGGAATTTAACAAAAATTGATCCATTATTAATTGAATGTTTCACAGAGAGTGTTACAGATATTGTCTTAAGTGGTTATCCAACAGAGAGTGATTATCATGGAATGAAATTTATTTTAGATATACTAACACGAGGTCATATTACAAATATAGTCTTAAAATTTCCATCCTATTGTTTAATGAATATTCTTTCACCATTATTAATCTATCCACGTTCATATTCTTTATCATATTTATCAACAATTAATGAAAGTGATTTTAAACAATCAAATGTATTTACACAACATTTTATTTTACCATATCGTCAAAGACAATTATGTTTACAAGTAGAAATACATTCAAATGAAAAAAATAATACTAATCTACATCAAATTTTATCAAATAATCATCATATTATCGAACAAGATGATAATAATTCAACAGATACAACACATGCTGTTATATCAGAATCTATTAATAGTTCACATGATTCATTAGATATTCTTTCAACATCACCAAATACAACTATTCATATACATTCATCAACATTAAGGCTAAGAAATGATTTTTCGCAATCAGTTGTTCAGCAATATCAATCACCTAATAATCAAATTCAAACAGATATACCAATTATTGAATCAAGTCATCTTGTTTCATTATCTGATCACAATAGGTTGACTGTTTAAGGATATCGCTCCTCCCACTCTTTTTGAAAAATTTTGATTCTCGAAAATTGTATAATCAATCAGATTGATATTTTTATCACGATTAGAGCACCTTAAATAATGAGACACATGTTTGAGGAAAAAAGTTTTTAAGTGAGTTTTTGCAATTTTTTTTTCGGTAAAATCTTGGTTTTCTATAGGACCGCATCCTAGTACATGACGCCTCCCATCAAATTTTATCCGATTCGATTGAAAACTTTTTTAGAGACATCTCAGATTATATTTTAGAGCTATTTTTAAACGTTTTCAAAAACTGTTTCTTTTTTTTATGAGAGAAATACATAAAGGTTCGGAGCCAAGGCTCGAGTGTTGACTTTCAAAATTCTATAAATCCGGATAGAAAAGTGAAAAACGAAAACAACTGATTTTGTTTCTGAAGGACACTTACAAGTGTTTACGGTAAAAATTTCAGCCCGATTGATACCTAATTGATACTCGTCGTTTAAGATCATATTCGATCTAGTATGAAAAAAACATTTCTTCAATTCAGCAAATCTGTAAAATTAAGCTAGCTAGAGTAGAATGATGTTTTTCATTGCACATGAGACGACTTGAGGATATCATACCTTTTGTCTTGCTCGAAATCGAGTTTTTTGGTCGAAAAATAGATAGATGAAGTACCCTTACGATTTGTAAATTCTTTTAGACCAACTATCGAACCACATGAGCGTCTTCTTCCTTATTTAAATCGATCTCGAAACTTTCAACAAAATTCAATACGTCAATCAATCGTTACACCTATTCGATATCTCTCAACATCTGAACAATCTGTTCCAACAATAGAACCATTAACAAATCTTATGACTGAACCTGTTTCTTCTAGTGATAGTAATTTATTTCGACAACGTACAACTACCATTGTTCATCCACCTTCTAATTTTACAATGAAGAGAAAAGAAAATGAAATAAATCAGGAAAAATTCTTATTACTTCATTTAACTCCACAATATCAAACAAATTCATTAACAAATCTTTCTATTTATTACGTTTCATCTTTTGAAACAATTGAAATGACTGCTATTGCTTTATTAGGTAAAAAAAAACGTTTTAATTAAATAAAACGAAAAGAAAAAAATTCTTCTTTAAAGGCATGAATCAAATTCATCATTTAACTTTAGTTAATTTTGCTATTTATTCATCTCAACTTGAAACAAGTTTAATTACTTTATGTACTCGATCACAACTTCAATCCCTTCATTTAACAAGTATTTCATTAGCACATGGTGCTATTGGTTTTCTTCTTCATTTATTTCAAAATAAAATTAATCATAAAAATATAAATATCAATCTTAAACGTTTACGATTAGATACAATTAAAATATTTTCATTATTAATTGATGGTATTCATTTATCTGATGTTGAACAAGCAGAATTTATTCAAAACTCTTCGTTAGAACAATTTATTTGGCGCGAGTAAATCGAAAAGAAAAACAAAACTTTTTAGGTATGTGATGATGAATATGTTGTTTTAGACGTCATATGCAATATATTCATATGCGTTTACTATATAAATTATCATTTAATATTATGTCAAAACTTCATCGTCTTGAACTTTCTTCTATTCTTGAATGTTCTATATTTGATCAATATATATGGTGTCAAACATTTTTACATCATATATCTGATGTACGTCTTCGAAATTTTCGTATTCGTCCAATTAATTTAACACGATTTTTTCTTTCGATGAATATTCAATATACTTTAACTGTATTTCATTTTGAACGTGTTGGTCTTACTTGGAATAATGATCAACAATCAATAATTATTCACGATGCATTTACTTCTTTGATATTACATGCTAAGCATTTAATTGAATTTAGTTTAGCTTATAATAATCTTAATAATAATTTTATTCATTGGCTTTGTCAAATGTTATTATGGTATGATAAAAATATTGAAATAAATAATACATCATGGTGGTCAATAGGAATACTTAATTTGACTTTTAATTTAATAACAAGTGAATCAATACGAACACTTATTGATGCATTGAAAGAATATAAAAATCGATGGAGAATAGGATATTCACCAATTCGACGAATAGATATTTTGGGCAACGCTTTAGAAATGAGAGAAATTCCGAATTTAAAAAGACAATTTAACGCACTTGGTTGCGATCTTATCTCTTATATCTTCTCTTGATATTTTTTTGCCCGTATCAGAGACCCTAGACAACAGATAGAAGTTGAACGATCAAGAGTTTTTATTCGATTAGAGCATAGTTTTCTGTGAAACTCAGATGTATTTTCGAATAAGATTGTAAGTATAAGTTTAAATCGCGGTTTCTGCAGCTCCTACCGTTCCGAGGTCCGAGAAATGGCGGGCTGAAGACCAACGGTCATGGTTTACTTTCCCATATAAACTGAAAACAGCAGGCTTCAGAGTACTTTTTCAGAATCTCTTAGCAATGGAAAAAGATGTTGGACGGAATTAAACATAAGACTTAGATTATTCTAAAATATTCTTGATATGCACAGCATAAAAAGTGTGAACTGATCAAGTTATAACTTTGGGAAATAATCATACTAGTTTTTTCTAAGCTTATTGAGATATATAACTGTAGATGTAATCGATCAGTATAACAGACCTGTTGGTCAGTTAAATCAACGGTTAAAATAATATTCATATTGAGTTTAAGAAAAAAAAGGACTGCGAAAATGAAAAATAAAGAACAATTGGTAACAATATAAATAAAAAAATAGAATGCCAGTAAAAAGGGAAAAAATTTCTGTTCGAAATATAATGTAAAGCCTGAATCTCGGTTTTCCAAGACAAAACGATATTTCATGAAAAAAACTAAGAATAAGCGATTTTATGATTTTCCAGATTTGGTACCTGTGTATTTTGAAATTTATCTCTCGATCGATCAACTGGTTGAAGTAGAAAAATATTTAAAATCGTCTAATTATCTACTTGATTCATTATTTATGATCAGCTGTCCTGACGAGATTGATCCATGTTTTATGTCCTCAAAAAGATTAGGTTATAGAGTGTTTTCATAGATAATATTCCATTCGTTTGCTCATATATTCAATCGATCTATATGTAAAATTAAGCTGTTTCAGTTCTCTATCGAATAGTGTATGAAGATATGAAAAAAGATTATTCCTTGTCTTCCCTTACCCATCCACAAATCTACTCAAATACCCACACCCTACATCATCGTCAATGTAGTCATCAACTAAAAAATAATTGTTAGAGTTTTGATATTTTTGTATTTCAAGTTTAAGTTTTTGAAATACTTTTCTGCCGTTGCTAAGAAATGTCTTCTTCATCATCATTGTCTTCAATTGTTCAATGTACGCATTTTCACAGCTAAGAAAACCTCTGAAAAATTTGTTGAACAATGCCGCTGTCGCATATCTAAGTATTGGTTTTCACTTCTCTGTAGATCATGAGAAATTTTAAATTGCTCTTGTCAGATAAAAAAATCTAAGTCCTTGAGAACTGATTCTTCAGACGTGGAAAGAAAATGTTCCTGGAGTTCTATGAATAGTATTGGATTGATTTTAACACATTTTTGTTCATTTGGACTTACCAATTCGTTACAAAAAAGCGGAGACAGATAGCGAGAAAATGCTCTTGATGAGATGCAATCAAGAAGAAAGATAGAAAAGTGTAACCTTGCTTTCTCTGTCAATATCGATTTTTTTACACATTTTACCTTCACATTGATGCCACTCACGGTCAGTGCATATGTATATATATATGCTGCAATAGAAATTAAAATTCAGTAGGATTTAAAATTCTATTCGTAAAAATTGAAATTTCATTTTCTACTAAGAGAACTTCAAATAACACGTGATTTTAAATTGCACCAATAGAAATTAAAATTTTAATTTCGACACTAGGAGTATTTTAAATATTACCTAGAAACTTATATTATGAAAGTATTTTAATTTCTACTGTAATAGGATGTAGGTGTGGGTGAGAATGAAGACAAGTACCACACCCTCACCCCTCCCCCCACTCCATACCCTAATATTTTTGAGAAGTTTTATAAAAAAAGAGCTCTACAATTTTATCATAATTTCTTAGTAAAGTTGGAGTCGTACCAACTGATATTTTACAAGCGCATAGGGCTGTGCTGATTCAGTAATCCTATGTAAGTTTTGAAGGATTCGCTGATACTGTAAGTAAGAATATTAAATAACGGGTGTCACAAAATGAATGGCGCTCTCAGTATTTTTCATATAACTCATTCATTTTTCAGTGTTTAAGAAAAAAGTTTTTTACCAAAATATTCCTCGTCAAATTCTCTACAAAACGTATATATTTTTATTATCTTAAATAATCTCCATTATTTTGTGACATGCGATACAATCGTTTCGTCCAAGAAGCACAACTTTCAAACACAACATTTTTTCGAATTTTTTTCACAGCTTTTTTTAATTCTTGGATCATTGTTGCTTTAGATGTCACTTTATTCCAGTTGATGGTCTTCACAAATTCATCCCATATACAATAATCCAATGGGTTGAGATCAGGACTATTAGGTGGCCAATGGTCTTTATCGATAAATGCTGGAAAATTGTCATGGCACCATTGTTGTGTTAAACGATGAGTATGGGGTCTAGCCCCATTTTGTTGGAATGCCCAGTCGTTTCCAAAGACGTGATTGCCATATTTAAGTGCCACAGGAAGCACCTCTTTAATGTATCGATCATGGTCGACTGTACCTTGATTAAATGCATAGTAAAAAAAACTGTACTTTGATTAAATGCATAATAAAAAAACTACCTTGTTCAAATATCACCAATGGAGATACACCTTTTGAACAAACACCAAGCCAAACCATGACTTTCTCAGGAAATTTTTTTTTCTGATGAACACCACCTTTCTGATTAGCTTCATCACGATTTACAGCCCAAATACGGTCATTCTGGGTATTGTAAACACCATCAATGTCGAACATCTTTTCGTCAGAAAACAAAATTTTCAATGTTTCCTGCTTTCGAAAGTTTGTTCGTATCCAGTTAGCAAACTTTTTTCTTTTTTCTTTATGTTCCTCGGTAAGTGCTGGTTCGATCACATGTTTATAAGGTCGACAGCCAAGATCATCCCGAAGAATTCTGCGAGCACTTTCGTGAGATATACCCAGATCAAGTGCAAGTCCTCTAGTCGATACCTTTTTTCGTTGTAGCTTTTGCTTGACCTTCTTGATGTTGGCATTAGTTCGAGCTGTACGTGGATGACCTGACGATACTGATAAATTGATAGAACCAGTTTCATTGATCATCTTGTACCATCTTGTGATCGTTCTTAAACCGATTACTCCATTCAAATCACGAAAAACCTTCGTTGGATTATCACCATTTTGATGTTTCAAAAGTACCAGTTTCTGTAAATCTTCGCTTTTCATTTTGAGAAATAAAAATGATGACTAAGAGAATTTTCTAGGATTTATCGATAAAGATTATTGGCCACCAAATAGTCCCAATCTTAATCCATTGGATTACTGTATCTGGGATGAATTTGTGAAATTTATCGATTGGAATAAAGTGACATCTAAATCAACCATGATTCAAGAGCTAAAACGTGCAGTAAAAAAAATTCGAAAAAATGTTGTGTTTGAAAGTTGTGCTTCTTGGACGAAACGATTGTATCGCATGTCACAAAATAATGGAGATTATTTAAGATAATAAAAATATATACGTTTTGTAGAGAATTTGACGAGGAATCTTTTGGTAAAAAAATTTTTTCTTAAACACTGAAAAATGAATGAGTTATATGAAAAATACTGAGAGCGCCATTCATTTTGTGACACCCGTTAGATATTATGTCGATCTTTTTGTTGTAAGAATACATTCTAATGTAAGCGGTTTATCTGCAATAGAAATAATATTTTAACTTGAAATGTAGTATTCAGATGTTTTCATGGAGTAATTTGAGTTCAAGAAAGTCGGTCCAAGAGTTGTTTTTAATAAACGCCCTACTCTTGAATCATGCATCTAATTGTATTGGTTACATTTTTATCGCTTGAAAGAGTAATTATATCTCAAGTTCTAGCAGTTGATGTATAAAAGAAATGCTTGGGCAAAATTTAAACGGTTTGAAAAACTTTTCATTTTTTCGCATTCCTCAGTTTGTTCTGAGTTTTTATCTGAAAAGATCAAGAACTTATCAGCATCACGGTATGCTTGCTTTTGTTGCATTTTTAATAACAGTTGTATGTGGATGTTTATTGCTTCAAAAGAATTTTCTTTTGTTCGGATGTTCACCGTTTTTATGTGCAATGATCAAATGATACTGCTAATTGAAGCAAATCTTAAGAAAAATTCATGATTTAAAAGGTTCAATAGTAGTAGAGTTAGAATCAGAAAGCTATAATTTATAATGATGCTGTAATTGTTAATAGAGAAGGAAACTACTCCAGGGTATTTTGACGAACATAAAGTTTTTTAAACTGTCGATAATTTCATCTTTTGCTTTTTTATGATGGAGGTAATGCAAATTGTGTAGTTGCTTTAGATGGTATTCTTAACGATAGATTTTGCATAAAATAAATTTTAAAAAAGTAAAAAAATAACAAACTAGACGAATTATTTATTTCCGAATAATAATTTGATGAAGGATAATAAGTAGCCCTTTCTAACATTAGTTTCTTTCACATTAATCAACACTTTAATTGGAAAAGCTTTGTCAAAAAGATGAACAGTAGTTAGCTAAATAAGAAAATGAATATAAGCAGACAAACGACTAAAAAGAATATTTACCCAACGATTAAAAAATGGTTTGTCAAATATAGCAAATAAAGTGTATATTCAAGACTATTGTGCTTTAGTGTTAAATAAAGAAAACGTATTCAAATCTTATGATCAAAAATTGATATATAAGCTTTTACTTGCAATCAAATTCAATAATAGTTCGATAGTATCTATTCAGATGAAATAAATTTTTAAATGCAAAATCATATCAACTGTGTAATATAAAGAATCTATAGCATCCAAAGTAGAACCAGTTCGGTTTTGTTTTAAATTGAAGCCAAACACCAAAACCTGTTGGGAAAACATCAGACAAATGGATTTTTGTGTTATATGTTCAAGAAATAAGACACGCTAGATTGTAATAGATGGAAACGCGAGTTGGAATCGATAGGATTCTTTTTCGAGCGCCCTGAACTGATTGGTTGAAATTTCTGACTTGACAAGCAAAAACTAATCAATGCAAAAACAGACTTAGACCAGTAAAACATGATTTTGTTCAATATATAGTGACTGTCGATGAGATGTAGGTATAAGTTTTTAATTCAAAAGCGAATGAGAGTGGAAAAGACTGTCTTTTTAAGGATAGTTAGTAAATTATGCAGCAAAAATGAGAAAAATGTCATCATTAATGGCTCTCGATATATTCTCCAAGTACATTTTGCAACAAAACATTAAAATGGGCATGTGATGCACTAACCTACGATGTCTTTTTCCTATGTGAATATAGTCATAATCAAATTAGCGCTACGAACACTTCTGTCATATGATCGCGAATAATTATGCGCAAGATCGAGAGAGAAAATGTTAATCCGGCTATGACAAAAAAATACGTTTGATAAGATCGACATTCGGCATGCTCTTTGTTAAGGGAATATTTATTTACAAATTTTAATGCTAGATCAATCTATGCATAACTTATGAATAAAGACCAAAAAAAAAACATCTAAAGAACTGCTAGAGCTTACACTTTCGATATCACTAAAATTTCTCTTTAGCATCAATGAAGTGATACGAAGGAATCACTACTAAAGAACTTTTTTATATGTTCTTGAATGTAAAAAGTAAGTGCTACAATTTTATTTTGAAGGACGTTTTCCGAAAACAACTGATATGTATATTAGTAGTCCGTCAGGCCACCTGTTGAATTTGTGTTGGGTCGACCAACGATGAAATTTTAGTTTTCAATTCGTTTATCTAAAAAAGTAAGTCATCATCAGAAAATTTTAAGAGCATGGATCTCAGGTCAGAATTAGGAAAAGGACTACACTCATAGCCATTACGTAACTTACACGAGCACCGTGGATATATTTGTTATGGAACGATATGGAATGTACTTCATGGAGAAAATAGAAGCGTACTCGCAGTAATAGAAAAAAAAAGGATACAGGTCTTCTTCGGATACATTCACAAGAGTAAAAAAATATAAAGTAAAGAAACATTCGAAATGAGAGCACTTTAAAAGAATAAGTAATGAGAAAGGCTCTCGAGATGTCTCCTCACTACTTCAATAAGTTGTTATCTATACTGAGTACATAGTAGTCTAGTAAAAACTTTTGAAAGAATTTAGATTCTTCTTCTTGAAATTTGCCAAAACGATCGAATTTTTCATATCTCTATTTTCTAGAGACCTGTGTAAAATTTCTATGTTCGAAAAATTCGTACTGTGAAATGTCCTCCTGAAACTTTTTCCAATTAAACTTCGAACATATGATTGCGTGTCTGAAGAGATTTACAATATTTCGATGAAGTGTCTCTGAAATACGAGCTTTTCAAAACGTTCTCGTATTTTAGAATAAAGCATAGGAACACGTCTGAAATTTCAAAATATTGATAATTCTACCAAATCTCAATAAGAATTTTAATCTTTGCAGGGTTCTCACTAAAAACTCATGCGTAAGACCTAGATTTAAGAAAAAACGCTGAATAGGAATGGGTCATTTGCAAAAATTCTCTCTCATAACCACATGTATTAATGTTAGTCAACAAGATTTCAAAGACATGTTGTATATAGATGCAAGTGCACGAAAAGTTAACTTTGAACTTAATGCTTTCTAAATGGAGAAATAGTACATGTCTTTTTTAGATTTTTTGCATTTGATTTTATATATGTGAACCAATAGTATCAAAGACCTATTCACAACACGACAAAGTGATTGGACTAAAAATGATAAAGATACATATTAAAGTATTGTAACCCTCTTTTTAAGAAGATAAAAAAGTCAATATATGACAATCTTGTATAATTATTTCTTTTTACTACCATCAACGATAATATCTAAAATGAAGTGAAAAATTGTATCTCTTATTTCAAAAAATAACTTGAGCTCTTTTTATTTCCATTGATCTTGCCAGTATTATATAAATAAATGACATATATTTTCATAATATTAAAATCTTCTTTGTTTTTTAGATCGGTGCATCATATTCGTCTTGGTATGATACTAGAAAATCACCAGTTGCTAAGTGGAACAAGTTCAGTACTCTCTCACCATGGATTTTAATGGTCTTTTGGTCTATTAATACTACCTAGTGTTCTAATGAAACCTAAACAGTGTGGATGTTGATGATAGTAGAACTGTACCCACAACAACATCCATACCCTCATTGATTGAAGTAACTATTTATTCATGTTCAGCAAATCTTCTTCGACAGCAAAATTAAAATAAGTATCTTACAAAATATATGTGGCAAAGACGACATCTCACCTAATATGATCCATTTTTTTTCAAATTTTCCTTGAATTTTTCTAACATGACAAAGAAAATGTAATAGATTTTGCTCATCGTGTTTTTAGTTTACGTCTAGAGGCATAAGGCGGTCGGCTGAGTCGCCTCTGTAACTCAAAAAGGATATTCGATTTTGGAAAATTTTCGACACTCACCCCAGGTTTTCGTGGATCTTCTTTCCATGTACAAAAGCGCGATAATCCCTTTTTAACCGATTTCTTGCGATTAAAAATTGATCAAAATAAAATAAAATTTGTTTTTAAAGCTGAAAATCAGCATTAACCGGTTCAATGTTAAAATGATTGATTTTAACTTATTTTATCGGTATTTTTCCTAACATCAGTCAATATCAATTGATATAGTATCTCAAAGTGTGGCATATATGTGAAAGGTTGGTGTATTGCCATACTTACTACTTGTTGAGTCAAAAAGTTCGAGAAACTATTCAAAAATTGTAATTTCTAAATAAAATATTACTATCGCTTCAATGTCAACAAATACTACAGTGCCATCGATTGAAACATTACTAAATAGTAGAAATACTTCATCATATTTTCGATAATCTTGATGTACAAACAATCTTATACTCAATTCGATCAGTTGTTAATACTTATAATCGATATGTTTTGGATTTAAATTTAATTTCAAAATCAAGTTTTTATTATTTTTTTCTATTAATTCATCCTCAAAATATTCATTCATTAACACTTTCGAACGATGAACGAACATCAGATCAAATAGGTTTGTTTATATCACTTGCTCATCTTCGGCAGTTTACTGGACTTTGCTCATTAACTGTTCTTGATATTGATGAATCGCAATTAAACTTCATTTTGAAAAGAATCAATCTTAATTTACTCAATTCATTCTCATTCAATATTAGCAAATACCGTAATAGACTCATAGAAACAACTACAGCTCTTCCTAAATTGGAATTCTCGTGTTTTGATGGAATTCCAAAGGTTCCATGGTCAATCAATTTTATAACCAAGTATTTGACTACAAATAATCGCTTAAATATAGGTGATCTTTGTACAATACTCCAATATTCTCCTCATTTACATACACTCATTATGAGCGAAATTCCAAAAGGGGTGATTAATAATTTAGCTTCAATGTGCGTTCGACAGTTAAAATCGTTATCTATCAAAAATCTTTCTGTAACTATTAACGAACTTGAATTATTTCTCTTATTGACACCATCATTTGTCTATTTAAAATTGATTGGTGTAGGACAAATGTTAGATGGTAAACGATGGGAGCAATTTATTGGAATAAATTTATCTGAACTTGGCAAATTTGAATTTTATTTCGACCAATGAAGATCAACTCACCAAACTGTAACAGATCTTGAGTTCATTATTGCTTCATTTCAAACATTATTTTGGATTAAACATAAAAAATGGTTTGTTGCTTGTGAATACGAACATACTATGCTAAAACTACATATTTATGTCTCTGTATTCAATACCAATACGTAAATCTTCTACATCACACACGTCAAAGTTGACAAAAACATTGTTGTCCACTTAGGGAACATTTCAAAATTCCTATCGTTCTGGCGTTTTCATGCCGCTCTGTCACGGCATAATGGATTTGTTTCAATTAAACTTTCATATATTGTTTGTTTCTTTTGGCGTATGTATACGTATAAACGAAGTATATTGTTCTTTTTCTATTCAATATTCTTTAATTCTAGACTTCATTTTCTCTAAAAGACAATGAATTTTTTATTTTTGTATAACAATTTCTGTACGTACGTAGGTTACATTTATTGAAATTCGCTCAACTTGACTAATCAAAATAAGTACAATAATTAAATATTAGTGTGAACGTCTTAATTAACATTCAGGTGAAAGACAACGTCTTCTTCGTTTTACAACTTTATTCACTTGAGCTGAAGATCTTTGAAGTTTCGGTTTTGGCCCATGTATCCATTGACTATGTCTATCTTCATCTGCTTTTGATAGAAATACGCATGGCAATTTGCATTTTGACCATCTGACTTTTGGTCCAGATAATATAGAATATGATCTCTGTAAAAATGTATCGCAATGTTTATTGCTATATGTAATTGTTGGCCAAGGAATATATCCACCACCAGCACGACGTAAAGACATTGTTTTTTTTAGCACGAATTGGGTAACAAGAACAATGTACACAATATTTATCATCGCATTTAATAAATTACGTATAATATATTGAACAAACACAATGATGAAGATGAAGTTGTAAACCTAATTGGACATTTGCATTTTCTTGTATTTGTATTTGTGATTTATTCATTAATAAATTCTTTAATTTTTCATGACCGTCAAATACATTTGCATTAGCAAAAAAAATTGGACGACAGTCAAACTTATAATTGCAATAACTTTTATTATTCCAGTATTTACATAATTCAATCAATGCCATATCCAGTTGTTGTGATGTTTCTTTAAGTGATGGATCCAAATCAATAATAACACCTTGTAATAAATCAGTGAATCTTGAGAACATGCGTTCAATTGGATTAAGACGGCTATGTCCTGGAGCGTAGCTGACTCAGATCAAAGCATCCAGTCTTTGTTCTTTCCAAAATCTTCCCAAGTTATAAATGTTCGCCGTACCATCAGTACTCCAATCTGGACCGTTATCACATATGATTTTAATAACACTTTTGTGGAGTAACATATTATTTTCTGTTGTTATCTGTTGTAAATTATTTATACGAACTTCACTCGTTGCTTTTTATTGATTGACCAATCCCAGAATCAAATGGACGAATGAATAATTGTCCTGTTCTGCTCCATATAACATGTTCAAGATTTCTTTTATCGCTCGTCTAAATGAACAAAGAGCACAAGACTCATTAGTTATTAGTTTTTGTCTCTGAACTGATTAAAACAATTGACTGATTTATGTCCATCAGTTACAGCGTCTAATGTAAATATAGACTATAAAGAGTTATTTATTAAAGTTTTGTAGGTTTTATATGAAATGTTCTTTTTTAGGGATTCCAAGTAATTCTCACTGATCCCAATAGACAAACAACATTTCACGTTATGAAAGAAAAGCACGATAGACAACAAATAGCAACCAATCAAGAATTATTAAAGAAAGAAACGGGATTTCGTCATCTTTTGGCCTATTTTTTTTTCAACATTATTTACAGAAGAAGAATTAAAAGTTTCATCTGTTGACGCCTCTGTCCGTGCTACAACAGCCTTTGATCCAGTAAGAGTAGCTGCCATTGACAAGCATTTNCTACGATAGAAGTAGCAGTGCGCAAATAATATGCAAAGTGAGAAAACGTTTTCAGTAAGAAATTGATCAGAAAAATTTCTCTTTTATCAGCTTTGTGACAATTTTGTCGAATGACAATTTTCTAGTAGAGATGTCTGGTGACACTCTTTCGAGAACATTCTTTTCTGTTAGAATTAAAGCGAAAAAAAAGATATAACAAGCAAAATTCGAGTGTGTTGCCGTTTTTTTCTGACATTTTGTTCTCTATACAGAGCTGAAAAATGAGTAAAGTCATTTTTATTATTGAGTTAAGTAGATGAGTATAATAAAATATACTAAGAAATTGTTTATATATATAATTTCAGTTTCTTCAAGTCAATCGCACGAAAAAGTTGCAATTCATTCATATTTATGACATGACTTTATCGACACAAAATAATTTCGATAAAAAGCAATTTAAAATTAGTTCATAGTAATTTTCATAGCATCTAAAATAAGAATTGAATATATATACACATACGTTGACCCTAAGTGTAAAGATTATATAGGTTATAATCTCGCGTGACATATTGACACATTTACTTATTTTTTTCTTTTTTCTCATGTACTGACAGGTTTTTTCTGATGCTGATATTTTAAATGATCATTGATGACAACTAATCGATAAACAAAGTAATATTTTATCTAAAACTACAATACCATAAGAGGGTAATAGGTCAAGCAAAATGAAATATTTCGTGTGATATTTAGCGTGTCGAACAAATTTTGATAAACAAGACAATATTCTCTCCTTTTTTAACGGGTTTATTTCACATTCATTGGGTTTCATTCCACCGTATGTTGATCGGTTGTTTGATCTCTGATTTATTTTTTTATCTCTCGTGACAGAAAATCGAATGATGACTGTACATGTAAGATTGAGAAAAAAAATATTTAAAAAAAATCAATGTCAATCAGTTGTATATTCAAAAACTGCAGACAATTTTCTTGAATTTTGTCAACTTCGAAAATTTAAACGAGAAAAAAAGAAATTGGTTGTATGATATATTTTAACACTGCGTGACAGCAAACAAAAACGATCTTTCACATCTTCCATACTTAGTATTTTAGAATTTATGCAAGATAAATTCCTGATTATTTTTGAGTAATAGTAGTGACTTATTAAAGTAATCTAATCTAAAAAGAAAATCATAAAGCTTGATTGCAAATAACTCAAGATATTGAATTATTATCACAATGAAATGTAACGGTTCAATAAAGTTACAATTCTCACTGATGTTAAATTGTCACGACCTGTAGCAACCTTTCTCCCTGTGAGTCCTACATCTAAAGAAGGGAAGTAACTTGTGACTGAACAAACTTATCATTATGTTTTACTCTAGTGTGGCGATTAAAGTTATAAATTTCATCAAGTTTCATATAAGCGTTCAAAAGCTGAAGATATTTTTCATAATGATAGATAGACCAAATCGTAAGCACTTTCTCTAGAACTTGTAGTAAGAAGAGCTATCATTTGTTATGTCTTCTCTTCAACTCAAGCGAGCAAGGTCAAGTTAATCTCGTTGGTTCACATTTCAAAAGTAGTACATATGATAAAAATTTCAAACATGTAGCCTTAAGAACGACTTAGATCACAAAGAGATACTGCCGGTCCATTTAAAATTTCTTTATCAAGGTCATTAGTACTATCTTCAAAAGAGTATTGATTAACAGTTTCTTTGTGAATAATAACTTCGAAGAGTACTCATTAACTGAGGAAAAAAAATAGCTCGGTTGATTGAAGTGGGCTGGAGATATTTAGTTTTTTAAATTGAAGATGAAAACACAACGATACAACTTTTGATTTGCCTGTAATCTCTTAGAAATGTTGTATTGAATTATTTTCGTCTGTTCTATAAAACGAAACAGAAAGAATCCAGGGCAAACAATCGGACACTAAGATCGGACAAGATCCTGCGTCTGATCATATATGATCTTGTACGATTTGGTATGAATCGTACAAAAAAACCGTAGTCTCTGAAATCTTACATCAATTCTTATTGTAATATCCTTGACAGATCTTGTTGTCTTGTCAGATCTCACTGTAAGATTATAGAAAATCTTATGCGACAGTAGGATCTGACAAGATTCTTACAGTAAGAATTGATGTAAGATTTCAGAGACTACGATTTTTTGTACGATTTCATATGATCGTACAAGACTTACTGTCAGATTTTTTTGACCTGGGTAGCTCTTCAGAGAAAACTGAAGATCAGTAAAACTTTGAAAAATATTCACATATGAATCAAAAATTGTTTTAGACCCGGACCTGGACTCGGACCCTACGCGAACCTGACGAGCTCTATCTCGGACTCACAGATCCGATCGAGTCCAGACTCTAATCGTTGGGTTATGAAAAAATATTGATATTCTTGTCCGTCGTAGAATCGCACTTTTACAATCTTTTTAGACTCTAGTTGAACATTTTGAGTAATTTCTATTGTCAAAGAATAGTGTAATGTTATACTGAGAAATTTAGTATTACATTAAGTAATTAATGAATTTATTCTTCTGTTTATAGTAATTCTGTACCTACAATATCCGTCCTTGATATATTCGGTTTTGAAAATTTCAAATCCAATAGTTTTGAACAGGTATTTGAAAACAAAAACAAAAAGATTTATTATTTTTCTATTTAAAAAATTTAACTTAGTTATGTATAAATGTAACTAATGAACATATGCAACGATTTTTAAATCAACATATCTATGATTTGGAAATTCACGATTGTCAACAAGAAGGTATCGATACAGTTGATATTAATTATTCAGATAATCATCTTGTTATTGAAACATTTTTAAATGTAAATATAAATCTTCTCTAAGAAAATCAATTTATTTTTTTTGTTTATTTTGAATTTATTTAGAAACACTCAGGTATATTAGCTATATTAGATGAAGAAAGTCGTTTTCCACAAGCAACAGATCAAACATTAGCCACAAAACTTCATCATGGACCTGGAGTACAATTTCGTGATATATATTCAATACCAAAAGACGGTGGTACTACATTTACTATACGTCATTACGCAGCACCTGTTGTATATAATATTGTTGGATTATTAGAAAAAAATCGAGATTTTCTTCCTAATTCAATTGTTTTCGTTGCTCGAAGTAAAATCGAATTAATAAAAAATAATTCTTTTTTTAATTGGTTGTTCTTTTTTTCTTAATTCTTTTAGCAAGTAATAATTTAATAATTCAAGAATTATTTCGTTTAAATTTAAATGATAAAGGTGTTTTACCATCATCACCATCTTTACATCATCATCATCCGAATACGTTTCATGCTAATAGAGATTCTAGACGAAATGATCCATTAGTAAATCATAATGGCAGACAATCATCACATATGCCACAACCAATTAGAACATTACCAGAAAAAACAAATGGAAATACTTTTGAAAGAACAGGTGGAACAGCTATGAGAACAGTAGCTTTTCATTTTAAGGTGAGTCGGATTAGTATAAGTGAAATTAAAAATATTATTTATATTTACCAGTGATTGACAACATCATATAGCATTGATGTTGATCAAAACTATAGCTGGTTTCGTAAAGTATTTAAGACTAGATATGTGCAAATGTACGCTAGATGAAGAAACTAACTGGATGACTTAGACAGTTGATAGAGTCTGACGAGAGAACCTTTCGAAGTGATTCGTCACTTTTAGTTCTATATTTTCTATATAAGTAGCAGACCAGTAGACTAAGAAAAGTCTAACATGATACAGGCTCATTTTATAATGTGACTGAAATAGAGATGCTTTACTGAGATCCTCCTGTAGGACTCTGATTTTCCAACAAAACCACATTTTCAAACTTTAAATATATCGAGACTGCAATTAGATTAGTTCGTACAAAAAATTTCAAAACTATTCGACGTAGCATAATCGACATATGAATAAAGCACCTATATTGTGAAAAACTCGTATCATGGTTATGCCACGTGAAATAGTTCTGAAGTTTTATGTACAAACTAATCTAGTTGCATTGTCAATATGTGCTAAATATGAAAATATGATTTTACTGAAAAACCAGAGTTCTATAAACGGATTTGAGTAAAACTTCTTTATCTTATTCCAATTACAACATGACTCCATTTCATCTCGGACTATTCCCAATCAACAGACTTGTTACTTATGGACAAAATATGGAGCCAAAAGCGACGAACCACTTCAAACGGTTTCCTCGTGAGTCTAATAGTTGATATGAAGGTCCCTTGAATACTCTACAAATTTCTCAGATCTTAATTAGTTATTACTTTTAGAGTATGACCCATTGGGTCTAGTTCGTATCCACGGAGTCATTTTTATTGTAATAGAAAGTATTTTATTTTTCAAAATGATATATTATTGGTGGATACTATTTCACTTTATTGACAATAATATAACCATAAAAAATGTGCGTTACGGTTTTTTTGTTTATCGTTCAAGCATTTATTCAGTGCAGTCTGTCTTATCATTCGTAAAAATGAATCTATAATATATCATTGAAAATATTCTTCTGCATTTTGCAAAGCTCAAATAAATATATTTTAGTTTGAGGTCAATCAATACGTTTTATCAAAACTTATCACTGATAAACTACTGTGTATATGATATTTTATTAATTTAAAATGTTTTATACAAGACAAAAATTGCAATAAATGCTTCTTTTATTTGCTCCAATAATACATTTATCATCTTTATTTTTCTAAAATACAATTTTTAAGTAAAGTTTCTTTGTTATAGCCTAAAAATTGTTTCCGCATTTCTTGATAAATGAGGAAAAGCCTTTCAATAACTAACGGTGTGTCGGATGCAGACTTTCCGATTCCGGCAAAAATCCATTCATCAATTTACTTTTCTAGTTACTTCATACCTTCGATTAACAACATCTGCAATTTCTTTTTCAATAGTAGACTCATGCGGACTATTTTTATTTATGCATAGAATTACAATATTACATAGATTGCTAGTCTATTCGGAAATAAAATGTATGCTTCTATTGACCTTGTCTACTTTTATTCTCACAAACAAAAATGCTTATTGTTAGAAATGTAATAAAAAGAAAATATCAAAGAGTCTTGAGATTTGAAAGTCATTCTTACATATGTTTACTACAACAATCATTATCAGTCTATTTATACTTGTCTAAATTTGGAAACATATTTTATTTTGTATGTTTTTCTATAGCTCATTAACTTTAACGTTTACTCTTTGTATGAATAAAAACTTTATTTTCTTGTCAAACTTTCTATTCAAACAAAGTTTGCTTGAATAAATGCGTAGAAAATAAATCATTTTAATAATAAAACGATATGGATGATTATTCAAGAATCAATCTCGAGAAGAAGGAAAAGAAAAAGTATACTAAATGTCAAAAGCACTATTCATAATATAGACTACGTTTATTATGACAAAATTTTTGTCTTTGAAATAGAACAATATACAACATTAATTCAATATTGCATCAATAAACAAAATAAATAAATGAAAAACAAAATATTGTGTTTTTTTTTTTATAATTTTAGCATTCATTATCAGAATTAATCGATAAAATGTCCGTTTGTCAATGTCATTTTGTTCGATGTATTAAACCAAATGAACTTCGTGATAAAACAACATCACTAACTGTTCCTTGTGTTACACGTCAATTACGTTATTCTGGTGTTCTTCAAATGTGTGAAATTCGAAAGAAAGGATATCCATTAAGAATTCAATTTGATGAATTTCTTCATAGGTGAGACGATATTACCCTTGTATATTTAAGACCGATCATAGAGAGAACGCGTATGCAAACTGTAAATGTCATTGGAGATATATGTCTCCTCCTACAATTTTTTTTTCTTTCTTCATATTGACATCAGACAGTCAATAGAACAGGTACTTGTATCGTTTTTGATTTATCATTCAACGACGATGAGAAACGAACAAACGATGAAACCGATCTTCATATATATATATATATATGTATACACAAAATATTTTTTTTTATTTCGTGTGTGTATGCATAACAAATAGTTGTGAATACTCGATAGACGATTTTTTTTTCTTTTGATATATAAAGAGAAAAAATGAGTAGATGAGTATATATATTCATAAATGCAAAAAGAAACCCTAAAGCTGAAATTGTACCGTTTATATACAATTTAATCGAAAGGATAGTATTTTTTTCAGGCAAATGATTATTTTTCCATGTATTCAACTATGAAAAATGAAAAAAATGCCATTACACTAAATATTTTGTCTGTTTTCTTTTTCGTTTTACGTCACTATTGATTATTGAGCTCTCTATTGCCTCATCATTATTCACATTTGGTTGTAGGAATATGATTTATGACTTTTCTTTTTCTTTTCTTCTTTTTTTATTTCTTTCCGTTTGTTCATATTAGATACAATGCTCTCGTTCTATGTCTATTGCCGATTACTACCGATGACCGGTCAAAAGAGTTATCATTATCATCACTAACATATAGCCGTGATCGAGCCATTGAATGTTTAAAACGGGCCGGCATTGACAATTATAAAGTGAGTCCAACACGTTTTTTTTCTTCTTCTGTTCTGTTTGAAGTAAAAAGAAGAAAAAAAAAAAGGGAACAAGTAGTTCTAAAAGAAAGCTCTCTTGCTATAAAAAGAAAAGACACTTGCTCATGTACATACATATTTACATGCTGTTTTTTTATATTTTGTTTATTCTTTTGATTTAAGGTTGGTCGTACAAAATTACTATTTCGTTACTGGCATTCGGATCAACTTCATAACTTAGCTGTAAAATACGAGAAAAAAGTCAATGTTTGTCAGAAAGGTATGTGTTATATGGTAATGCATGGATGCCATTAAATTGATAGACAGCAGCAATAAGAAAGAAAGTGATTGATAAGACCGACAGACACAGACGAACAGTATCGATGAATCTAATCTCGTTTATGATCGATAGGAAAGAGTATACACACGTTCAATTTATGTATATACTCGTATAATGGATTCATGAACTCATTAAAAGCCAACCAGAGAAAAAAAAGGAGAGAAAAGAGATAAGACTGGAGGCAAAGGGTGAAAAATGAAAACAACATATCATTTTCTCCCGTCGTTCGCACTCGTTTTGATAGAGAAGGTCGTCGTCATTTGATCCTTAATCTTGCTTATATATAGACAATTGTTCATTAACGCATCTATATTGATTTGTTTATTATTTTCGTTAAATTCTCTAGTGATAAAAATTAATTTTTATTTCTTCATAAAATTTCAATGGAGAAATTAAAACATTTCATAGAAACATTACAAAAACGAAATGATAAAATTGACCAAACGACAGGTAGTATAAAACAAAAGATTGCATCAATAATCATAGATTCATATTAAGCTTAAAGAACGTCTCTCATTAATCCATTAACAAACATTACATGGATATGTATTTAATAGAAAAGAAAAAAAGAAAAACAATAACTAAGTCGATCTATTTTATGTTTTTTTTTATATTTCAAGTGAATTAAAATTCCTAATCATTTGAACTTTATACTCATTTGATCGATCAACAATCTTTCTTTCTTTCTTTCTTTAAAAGCAATTAAAATAAATAATTGAATATTGATTTCGTAATCTTATCTTTTCTACATAGTCTTACGTGGTTGGTTAGCTCGACGTAAATATAGTCGTCTTCGTGAAATTCATCAATTACAATTAGTATTTATAAGAAAATTTTGTGATGATATTTCTTTAACCGGTCAATTATATAAAACTAAAATGGATAATCATTGTCAATATGATAAAAGACGTAAAATAAAACAACAAGTTCAACAAAAAAATACTGATGCCGATGATGAACAAATTGAAAAAACATTGAATTTTTTTGATTCAATCATTGATCCATATCTTAGTGATCAAGATACAAGTGAAGAAAATAAAAGTAAATTAAAAATAGGTTTTTTTTTTCTTATTACATAACTTAAAGGTTTTCTATTTAAATTAGATCGACGATTATCAAATACATCTACAAATAATCATCAAACAAAAACAAGTCATTATGTTAATGGAAGTACAGTTCAACAAGTCAAACAAGAATTCGATGTAAGTTCTACGGAATAATTTAAAAGCTTAGACATTGAATCTTGAACTTAAATGGACCCATTTCCAGAATTTCTAGAGAATGGTTCATTGGAATATTTTGAAATGTTCAGGACAGGTAGATTCTGACGAGTAGAGCGAAAGTCGTCATTTCGAATGCTGTCTTCAAAATGCTTCTCGTTCCTTCAAGATGCTATATTCGATCGAGCTGAAAATTTTTTACAGTCACTTGACACTGTTTTCGGTGGGTGTCGTTTTATTTTTCGTCCTTCAAAGTCGAAATATCGAAAGTATTCTAAACAGCGCATGACTTTTTTGAATAGAGTTTTTTTTTTTTGTAAGAACTACAAAAAGCCAATAGAACAATATTATTTGGAACAAAACAAAAAATACGCACTCAAAATAGAGTCTAGTGCCTGTAGAAAAATTTTCAGCTCGATTGGACGTACAAGGCCGGAGAAACAGAGGCATTTTTAGACTTATTATGAAAACATTGTTCTCAGGAAAAAAACTAAACAATGTACAGTTTTCGCTGTGTTAGTTGTGTAAATTTGATTTCTTATTGAATTTTTTAATGTTTAAAGACAATTTTTGATTCATAAAATGTACATCAGTGGATAAATACTACGAATTATACAACAGTCATAAAGAAACAATAACTTTGGATTACGAAAGGGGAATCCTCAACCGATTGATCGTATTCGAAATCATTTATGATAACCCTTAAATCTTGAAGAACATTTAGTAATTAATAATCGATTAGTACGGTTAACTTCTCTAACAAGGAAAGATCACCAAGTGTTATACACCTTTTTAAATTAAGTAGTTGTCATGGTGTAGAACTCAGAAAATACAATATTTGGTATCAACCCTATGGGATTAATACGTGAAACACGATATAGTTGTTATTCGCACTGTCAAGGAGAGAATTATCAAGGTATCCGGCACTGTCTACGATTGTTTGCAAGCTTGTTTGTGAGAAGTGCAGAATTTCTACTCTGTATACGTCAACACTCCTTTTTAGATCGTGTTTTCACAAAAATCATGATGTGAATCTTAATGTACAGAACTTAAATATCAAGGACATTTTACATAATATTAAACTAAGTATTTTCAGAATTAATCATATTCACAGCAAACATTTATTCAAAATTTTTATTCAAGTTTGATATATGTAGGCTGTTGTTGTTGATTAAATGAGGAACTTTATACTCCTAAGAATTTTAATACTCATGATAGTCAAGTTTTCTACTAAGAATTCCATAATGAACTTTGCAAAGGATAAAGTATCTCGTAGCTCATTAAGACATCATTATAAGGGTGAACTATTTATTCTTAGACATGCACCAAAATCGTTAAGGTTGTTGTTGTCTAAATGAAGAAAAATGCCTTTATCTAATGAACAATGTGATACAAATTTTTTTCATCAATAGAAAATTGAAGTAAGATAGTGCAACTAAAGAATGTCGAAAGAGGAATTTCGACAACGCTATTACACTATGTGCTATAGTTAATCAAATAATCCCCAAAATCAACGCGTTTGAATTGTCTTTCAGTTTTCTTCCTATCTCTTACTAAATTAAACAGTTCATTGGATCATTCTCTGTTTGGTTGTCAGAGGTAGATATTTCTCTATATTTGTCTCGCAACAATTTATTGATATAGTTTATAATCAATCAGATAAGTTTGAAATATTAAATTTCTCTTATTAGCTTTGGATACATGTCAATTTATACCAGATGGTACATTGATTAAACTCTTCAAAATGATTTGTAACATGGCAGAGTTTTTCAGGATAAATGTCAAAGAATCTAAAAGTACATCTCTATGTATAGTACGACCTATATTAAAAGAATGAGTTGACATCTAACAATCGATTTGGTTTCGAAAAAAACTCGAATCGATCGTATATCTGTAACTTGAGTATACACACATATAGTAATAATATTGGTTTTCAAAAATTCTGTTCTTCTCCTATTTCATATAATGCTTTTCTGGATCAATAAAAAAAACCAATTAGTTCTATTTACTGTTTTGAACAAAAGTAGGCCCCCCCCCCCCCCCTACGAAGTGTTATTATTCTTTGTGATATTTTGGTTGCATACATACGAGAAAAAAAACCTAACCACAAGCATCAGTTCGCACTTTATCGGTTTCTGTTTGTCATTTTACTACTAGACAAGCTCCTACTGTTTTTTTTCTAGTGCTAATGCAGTTCCATATTTCTGCTTTAATATACCACCAAAGCTCATGATACATATAGTCAAGGTGTTAGTAATTAACACGCCCTAAAATATTGTATCTGTTCTCGCACAAACTCGAATTTACTCAATGCTACGACTGTAAAACTTCGAGAATAGATGTGTTATCTCATTGAAACTTTCTTCTAACGTATGGATCGAAATCATCATGGAAAAGTTCTATCTTATTAAGTTATCATTTGCTGTTCAATAAATATTTTTAATCAGAATACAATATCTCAGTTATTTTACAGTGATCTGTAACGAAATTCGGAGTAAACGTAGTTATTATATTTGCTTTTCGAATGAAATGTTTGACGAAAATATTTAGCGGGTTGATACTTGCAATCAGAGTTTATTATCATATGCATGTATCCAAAAATCAGTTCAATATCATAAAGAATAGTAGCAGTTCATGAGAAAGGTGGCTACTTTTATCTGGAATTATAAAAAAGATATTTTATTATCTTATTAATTTAAAGAAAATAATTTTTAACATTGTACTCTTATATTTAAATTAGGGTAATCTATCAAGTAATACAAATACATCAACATCATCTTCATCATCATCTCAAAAAGTTCATCAACGTCCAGTTGATATTCACGCTTCACATTTTCATCAATTTCAAAATATACGTTATCGTTTTGAACAAATGACATCAGCCGCTACAAATTCTTCAACAAATAATGTTCGTCGTTATACATCAGAAAATAATCTTAATGATATTAATCCATCATCAAAAGGAAATTTACAACAAAAAAATTCTCGTCCACCACCTATACAAACAACAGCAACAATAGCAACAACAACAACAACAACAACATCAACTGAAGATTTAACAAATATTCCATCATGGAAAAAATTATCTCCACAAGCACGTCTTTCAGCTTTACTTGATAAAACAAATCATACATCATCATTAACATCAAATGGTACAAGTGCTAGCTTAATTGATTTAACATCTATTGATAAATTACCATCAAATAAACAAATTCAAGCAGCACCATCATCAAGACCACGTTTTCGTTTTGTACCACCATCAGATAAAAATTCTGTATTAAAAGAAGAACCTGAACCTGAACAACAATCAACACCATCAAGTCAAGGATATGATAATTTTGATATGAAATCTTTTTCACCAAATCGAACTTCACTTAATAATAATCAACAATATCAACAACAGCAGAGTAAACTTTTCCTTTTTGTTCTTTTTCAAAAATATATATAAATTATTTAATCACAGGTAATCTTATGAAACCATCGATTATTCATCCATCTCAAATGACTCGTTCAACTCTATTTACACAACCAGAAAACAATATTCATCATCAAAATGGTAATAGTGCATTTAAACCTCATATATCTCAACAAACAAAACTTGTTAAATCACCTATACCATTATCATCAAATCAAATAAATGGAAATAATTTACAACGTCCTATTGTATCAACACAAAATATTATTCATCCACTTGGTTTAACAAATGGTAATAATGTTTTATATAAAACTCAACAGCTACAACAACAGCAACCACCACCGGTGCCTAATGTAAAACGAACAGAATCTGTACATAAACCGGGTGTACATGTTGGAATAACCAATCCGAATGGTCCATCATCTTCGAATGGTTTAATAATTCGTCAACATCAACAAAACATACCACAATTTCATCAATCAATGCTTAATTTATCTTCAATAGGTACATCGGAAACAACAAATGTGACTCAAACGGGTATAGATATGTTTGGTTCACGTGTATCACTTCAATCAGCATCATCAAATTTTATGAAACATCCAGCTTATACACCACAATTAAATAAAATAAATGGACAACATCAATATCATCATCCTCCTCCGACTTCATCATCATCATCAGCATTCAAGCCTCCTCCATCTATAGTTGAAGATCCTATTATAAGATGGATTCAACAAGTTAATAATAGTACTACTGCTAATAGTTTAACAACAAATGGAGGAGGAAATCGATCACAACAACAACAACAACAACAAAATTATCCTTATGGATCTTATATTTCAACAGGTCCTGCTGGTCAGTCTAAATAATAAATAATCCAATTGATAATTTCTTTTTGTTTAAGGTCTTCAATCAAATATGAACGGTTCAGATCATTCTCATCGTCAACAAACTCAACAATCTTATTTAAATCAAGTCAGTGTTCATAAACATCATACACCACAACATACAGTACCTGTTCAATCAGCTTATATTGCTTCACCACCCATATCAAGAAATGGTTTAACACCATCATTATCAACAAATATTTATCATTTTCATCATCATAATGCCCAACAAGTAAAACGTGTTCTTTTGTTTTCGTTTCCGGTTTTTTTTTAGTATTGTGTTTTTTGTTTTTTTAATTAAATTTTAGATTCCACCATCATCTGGAGGAGGAGGACAACAAAGAGCTCATTCACAACGTCAGGATGTAACTGTAACAACTTATCTTTAAAAAAATTATAAACAAAAACAAGACTTTTCTTTTCAGGTTCATTAAACTTGCAATAGTATCTAAACTCACTATAAGCGAGCTAGAACACCATTAACAAAAGATATCTGTGTGTGCGTGCATGTGTGTCTTGTATAATTTTCTCAGTTGTTTGACGTTTATTTCTCCTCCTATTTTTTCTCACTTATATACTTGTATATTTTCATAAACACGACTTTCATTTGTTTTTCATTACTTAATTGTTTGTTGGTTTTTATTTCAGTTTTCGATATTCAATCAAAAAAGAACAAAAGAAAAAAAATGAATCTAATTGAAATATTGTCGATGAAATATATTGAAAAATCGTTGTCGATAAGCATTGGATGAGAAATTAATATCATCGAAAGATTTCTTAAAAAGAAAAAACAAATAAATAAATACATAATTTGTCTTTCGAATCTTACTAGATGTATGACAGCTCCATATCAATTAATTAAGTTGATTTTTACAAATCTCTAGTTGAGAGACTTTGTTTTTATACTATTCGACAGAGAGATTTTCCACTCTACAAAACTGTTTTCTCGTCCGAGAAAAACTGTAAAGCTACTCAAAAATCCAACTATGACAGTCAAAAAATGATAGAATTTCTCAAATAGCAATTTTATTCATCTTTCAAATGTGTTATGAGATTCTCTGCTTATGAAAGTTTTAGAAATAAGTCTAATATACAATTGTTTATTAATAATTCGGAAAAAAACTAAAATGTTTTCGTTGTCCAATTTAATAAAAAAAAGTATCAACAGGATTTAATTCCAAGCCTTTTGTCATTAAACAGCAATGTCAGGAATCTTGGAAGCATAGTGAAAACTTAGAATATAAAATTTTCTATTGATTGATGCTAAATATTTTTCTTCTCACATTGAACTTGATGCACGTAGGTCAATACAAATTGTTCAGTCGATAAGAAACACTTATTTGAAAAACAAGATAAACAGTTTTGTAGAGCAAACAATGTTCTATCGAATGGTATGCCAAAAAGCCTCTCAACTATGTCTGCGTTGCTTAAACAAACAAAAAAGAAATAAATGTGTCCTATTCTTTTTTTAAGCTACCCGTTATTTGTGACATCTCCATTGCAGTTCATGTGACCTAAAATAGAGCTCTCAACACTAGTTAGATATGATAAACGAGTTATTCAACAACTCAGCTCTTACGAAATAAGATGGCCATCAAATCTTGCTCATATAAAAGTGAGCTTATTATCAGTTATTTGATTTTTAGCTTTTATGAATCCTTAAGCTAAAAGCTGTCACACACCTACATGGGACTCAAATTTGATATGAAGCTTAAATTTTTTTTTGAAAGTTTTTTTTAATTGACCTGATCAGAATTAAAATTAAGATTGTTAATATTATTAATGATCGGTTGTTCATCATTTTGTAATGGTTCATCATCATTCTGTATTGGTTGTTCGTCACTTTGTACAGGTTGTTCATCATTTTGTATTGTTTGTTGATTATAGATTGGTTCAATATCTGAATTTCTATCATTATCATTATCATTTAGATCTTCTACTTTTTGAACATCCGATGCAATCGAACCTTGTGGAGCATTGATGATTTGTTCATTACTTGGTACTTCTTGGATAGATGTAAATTGATTTACTATGTCTTTTTTAGGCGAATCAATTATTTGATTCTGTACTTGTGACTATTTGAAGACAAGAAAAATTGAAATATTTGTTTTTGTGTGAGAATTTTTTCTTTTTTACAAGATTTGATGGCGTTGGAGGAATTTTTGTTAATTGATTTTGATCACTCTTTGATTGATATGTAGATTTATTTGATGAAAACATACGTCGTTTAGGTATATAATGTTTAGTTCGATCAATACGACATCGAATTTGATAATCTAAAGGTAATTCTTCTTCTTTATATTCCTAAAATAATTCATATAATTTATTTATATTGTAATTTAAATATGCATACTCGATCAGCAAAGAAAACACGCCGAATACGACAATTAGCATGAATCTTTAAATTGAAAATTCTTTTGTTTTTTTTTTTCATTTATTTACTTAAAAATCTATACAATACCGTAATTCGTCGACATTCAATATAATTTGTTCCATAAACTGTTTTTGTAAATGATTCAAGATTAAGTGTTAAACGATTCCAACCTTCAATCCAATTTAATGGTGAATGTGTACCGAATGGACCAATTTTTGTTTTAGTTGCAAATGTTGAAATTTTAAAACGACGATGCATATTTTTACTATCCAAAACCTATTTAAATTAGCGTGTTTTTTCTTTATTTGTTTAAATAAAAACAATAACAACTAATACTTACTTCAATTTCCATAACAAAATAGCGTCGTAAATTTTTTATATATAAATTTAAATATTGCATTTTAATACCAAGTGATTCATATGGACAACATGGACAAGTTACATAAGTCGAACTAAACGAAATGTATTAGGTAATGGAAAAAAAAAGTTTGACAACAATGTTTTTTTTTTGATATTTTTTTTTAATATAATGTGAAGTAATTAGTTCAAATTCAGATAGTGATTTTAATACTCAATAGAATTTTCTATTAAATTATAGACGACAATTTTCAAATCCCAAAATCTGTTTCTCAGCAATATCATTGTAACTAGCAGAAACTGAGAGGTCGCAACATTATGAACGACTTTTTCTTAGAAAGTTACAACTATCATAAAAATTGTAAAAAAAAAGCGAAAGGAGAAAATGTTTCAATAAGACCATTTTTTTGCCCAACGCTTTTTTAGTCGGAAGTGTATCAGGAGGTTATTAGGAGTATTTCCTACTACTTAGTTTTGTTCTATCTCGACATAATTTTTTTAACTCCTGTGGTTCCTCCCTAGGGTTTCCAAAAGGCTTTTTTTACTTAAATTAGTGAAGAATTACACGTACTACAGGCAAGTTTTTGCGCTGATCATGAATATTGTATTTAAAATTGAACACAATGAAGTTTTAATAGAGAAAAACTTCTACTACTAATAAATTGATCACACAGTAGTTTTTCGTCTCAGAAATCTTTTTTTCGTAGAAAAAATATACTTAAACATTAGGCTTATTTTCTAAAATATAAAGTAGCTAGACAAGTGAAATCAGGTGTAATAAAGTCATATGTAATTATGATTTTTCAAAAAAAACGTAGAAATATTTTCAAAATTGAACTGTTTGTGTTTTTATTTGACTTTATACCACTCGAATATAGTCTGGCTAGTTCTTCATTTATTATCCGGATATGTATTCAAATCAGCAAGAAAAAATCTGTACATTAGCTTTCAAGACATCCGTCTGTCAAAACAATCTCAGGATCTTAAAGAGCCTAGGATTTTAACAATGTCACCGTGTTCAGGATTTCTTAAAATCTACTTCTACAACTTTGTATTATATTTACTCGTGTTAAGGTTGAGTTAAGACTGTGAAAATTTGTAGGAATATATTTTACAATATAGTAATCACGGTGGTATTATCGAGAATTGTAGGATTCTCTAAGGCTCTGAAATCAATTTTCTAGAAAGTCTCTGAAAAGCTCATATAAATCTTTTTTTTCTGCTGATTTGAATATATATTCAGATAACGCATGAAAAGCTAGGTCACACTATATATGTGGCTCTTTGACACCAGACTATCTTCGATTAGTATAAAGTCGAATAACTCATTTTTTTAAAATGTTTCTACATTTTCTTGTAAAATAGTAAACACGTTTCGAGTTTTATATAACTGATTTCACTTGCAATGGATAGAGAAAATAATTTTACTCAAATATTTTAAATTTAAGAAAATAAACCTAACGTTTGAGTACAGTTCTTATATGAAAAAGAGTTCTGAGACGAAAACCAGCTATGTGATCAATATATTATTAGTATACGTTTTTCTCTATTAAAACCTATTTGTTTTCGATTTCAAATACAATATTTGTGATTAGCGCTAAAATTCGCCTGCAATGTGTAGAATTTTTCAGGAGTTTAAGAAAAATAAAGCTTTTGGGAAACCCTAGGAGGAACCACAGTGGGCAAAAAAGTCATATCGAGATAAAACAAAATTAAGTCGTAAGAAATACTTCTAACAACCTCCTGATACACTTCCGATCGAAAAAAGAAGGAAAAAGTCGTAGACAAAAAAACAACCTTGGTGCATACCTCCTTGATGAAAAAATCGACAAAAAAACTTTTGTTTTCGTCTTTGTGATACTTTTAATTTTTTTTAGAGATGTTTGTAGAAAGTATGGCAACCTGTCAATGTGTGCTCTTTTAAATGATATTGTTAACTAATAGCTCTTGATACCTGAAAATTACGATGTCCAGTTTTTTAGACAACCTTGTCATCAGAGTTCATTGAGTATAAAATGCATTATAGAGAAAACTCCATTGAATATTAAAATCATTATCTGAATTTTAGCTTATTACTCCATATGATAGAAAAAAAGTCAAAAAAAACCTCATTGTTAAACTTTTTTCCATCAGTTTATATAACTAGATTTTACATGATTGATCATTTAATTAAAATCTTCTTACCTAACATTATTTGAAATAAGTTCAAGTACAAGTGAATTTGTATCTTCATCTGTAATTCGTTTAATATATCCATTTGATACTTTACATATCCAAGTTTGAAATGGTTTTGATCCTTGACTTGAAAGAATAGATAAAAGACCTGATTGATATGTTTGACGAAACATGTTTAGAATATAGAACAATATGAATCATCGTTTGTCTAGATAATTGGATTTGATATTCTATTGAAAACACTATTATAGACACTTGTTGTCTTCTGTTTTTTTTTTCTTTCTTTCTTGCTTGTTTTTTATCAAATAGAAATTCTCCATTAAATTTCGATATATTGCTCATTATCGTTATTTACAATAAAACGAGACATGAATAATAAGCCCCTGATGATCAATGTCTCTCGCCCTCTTTTTCAATCACTTTTACTCTGTTTTTCAGGTGATTTTGTTTGTCGTCGCGTTCTTGATGCTGTCGTCCATGGACAATGAATGTCTTTTTCTTTTATTCTTTGTCTTTTATGTATAATATAGACATATCTATACATATACATATGTTGTCTTTCTTTCTTTTTTTGCCATTCAAGATAAAAACCACAATTGTGTGTGTATGACAGAAATCAAAATTTACGCGCGTTTATAACAACAAACTGTAAGTGAACTTAGTAACCAGATTTTGTTTAATACAATGTATGTTTTATTCATTTGACATTCAACAACATCATCATATTGAGTAAGTCTGTATGTGTCGTTCTTCTTTTCTTCGTTAAAATGTGACAATATATCTATGTTGTTATCTAACCATAGTTTTCTTTTTTTTTATTTGTTCAATCGTCATCATAATTGATCTTCTCTTTACCATCAAGCACAAATTCTATTGTCGTCACACACACATACATATATATAGTCCTTCTTCAGCCGATGGTTTTAATTGCATCAACGAAATTTACTCGAAGATTGTCTCGTTCTTTCTTTTTTTCTCTCTCTCTCTCTCTCTTTCGGATCATTGTCCGTTGAGTAGGCATAGACATAAAAACGGATGGACAATGGTACATTTTTTTATTCTCGATTGATGACTCGTTAGAATAGTGTTCTTGTCGTTCGTTCCTAATTGGAATAATAGATGAAATAGTGCACATTGCATTTCCTGATATAAGATTCTGCTTCGTTCATTTTCAATCATCCCCTTTCTCATTATTGATTGTTGTTTTCTATCGGAGAAAAAAAAATGCATTATTAACATAGAGGTGCGGTGTCTAATATAGTTCTCGTTTCTAATATTTTTTTTCTCACTAATCGAGCAGAACCTCATTATTTACAAATGAGAAACGTAGTAAAGAATATTACAATAGAACTTGCTTTGTTTTCTTTTTCTTTTTATAGTTGATCATAAGATCTAATGGGATTTTATTTAGACGTGTCAAATAGTCTTTAGTTACAATCGATATATGGAAAGAAATGGAATCCATATCTATCTATTAATATATATATATATATTTTTCTTTTTCTCCCTGTTCGCGCTTCTGGTTTTTTCTTAATCCCTCTCCCGACCTTCTTATTTCCGTTCCATTCATTCATTCATTCATTTATTCATTCAATTGACGTAGGGTGAGGAAGATCGCGCGATGGGCCGAGGTCTTTTACATCGTGTTGGTCGTCGATGCGATATATAAGAACCGACAAATCACTCGGGCCAACGACAATTGCACGTCGTTATGTTGTGCTTTAGTTGTGTGACGTCTTTTTTTTTCTTCGTTCGTTTTATAAAAAAGCACGTAGAATAAGAGAATAAGTGTGTGGGTGTAAGTAGGGAACGGAAAACTCAAAAAACATGTGTGGTATGAATGAAGAAAAAAAGACTCTGCTTCTTCTTCCTCTTCTTCGTCAAAAACATCATGCTAATATAAAGCACTCGCAAAAAAAGAAGAAGACGAAGCAGAAGAAGAAAAAAGAAAAAAACACAATTGTCTTTTTGTCTTCAAAAACATTCTATTCATCAAAATAGTAGAACATTGAAATATTATCCTATATATAACATCATGTTCAGATGAGAGAGACAGAGAGAGAAAAAAAAACTGCGAAAGAAGGAAAACGTTTTATTGTTGTTTTCTTTTTCCTTTCTTTGTTCATACAAAGAAAAAAAGAAAATAATCATAATCGTTGTTGCATGTGTGACAAAAGAGAGAAAACAGGATGTGAAAATGACAAAAAAAATATATATAGAAAAGACGGCGAATATACTATAGAACATCATGAGGAAACGAGAAGAAAAGTAGTTGTAGTAAAAAAAATAGCGCCTTGCATTTTCTCCGATATATATATATTCAATGTCGATCTTTTCTTCCTATTTTACCACCATCACCCACATACATTTTATATATTTATATGTGTATTGTCCATTTATATATTCATCATCATTAGACTAAGAAAAAAAAAGAAACGTAAACTACTAATGATCAACGAACAACAGCTCAAGAATAACATCTAAGAGTGTGCCGATAACGATTTCATTACTTCTATTTTTTCGTATTCAAAAAAGACTGAAAAGTAAGTAAACTCAATTTTTTCCTTCTTTCACAGCTACAAAAAAAAGAAAAGAAATATCGCGCCCACACACATTTATATTTGTCAAGGCTAAAAGAATGACTGCAGCTGCTGTCACTACTACTACGAATGATGCCGCTATTGGTTTTTTTATTTTGTCCATATCTTTTCATATTATGTAGTTCTGATGAGTCTGAATAACACAAAGAAGAAGAAAAAATGAAGAAGCTTGTAATGATGATGATGTCCTTTAATTGAGACTATGTGGATCCTACACTATTAGGTTTTTTCTTTCTTTTCTCAATTCTTATCGTCATCGTCTTTCCTAATCATCGATGTAGTCATTCAAACGAAAAGGGAGAAAAGAACAACACGATATAGCCCATCGACGTCAGCCTTTCTAATTCAATTTCGATCAATTATTTATCCTTTTTGAGACGTCAGTTCGTTGAAAGAAGCCTGTGGGTGTATCGATGGTACTGTTCGCAAAACAAAGACAACAGGTGTGGGTATATGAGACAGAGCAAAAAATTAATCTCATGTTCTCTTTGTTTTTTTTCGGTGCTCTTTTTTCTAATACCAAATTTTATATTTAGTATACAATGCAATTTGAAGTATCCGTTGCACTGAATTTTCTTATTGCCTATCTTTATAATAAATTACCACGTCGGTAAGTTATTCTTTTTTCCTCTTCTTTCATATAAAGATCTCTCTTTTTTTTTTGTATTTTTTTTTTCTATCTTAGTCGAGTAAATATGCTTGGCGAACAAATGCTCGAACATTTACGTATCAAATTTCAAGGTCACTGGTATCCGGAAAGACCGACAAAAGGTTCAGCATATAGATCGATACGTATCAGTAAAGAAAAAGTTGATAAAGTTCTTGTTAATGCTGCAAATGATGTTGGTTTGGATTTACAAGAAATACTTGATACATTACCAAATGATCTTACTATTTGGATTGATCCAGGCGAAGTATCATATCGTATTGGTGAGAAAGGACCAGGTAATAATTACTTTTTTAGATAAAGAAAAGAAAAAAAAACAATTGTTTTTCTTTTGTTCTTTTCTTAAGTTAAAATTTTATATGAAGATGAACGACGTTTACTTCGAAAAAATACTAATAAAGATAGTCTTAACAGTGAATCGTCAAGTGATAGTGAAGAACGTGAAGGACCATCATCCCATCAAGGTAATTATATTTTAGCAAAAAAAAAATCAAATTTTTTTTTTTATTAAATAGATTCTGATGTTCCTATCCGTCCGTTTAATCCCGATGCACAAATATTTCAGCCAATACCTGATAATTTTGATACAATATCTCTTCTTTCAAATTCTATAAATAGTCTTATAAGTTTATCACCAACATCATCAAATAATACAAATTTAAATTCATCAAGTGGTTCATCATCATCAGTTGTTGGTACAAATACAACTGTATCATCATGGACATCAAATGAACATGCATTAATACCAACATTATCATCACCAACAGTTACTAATAATTCAAATACTGCTTTTTTAAATAAAACAGTATCAACACCTGTTTTTTCACCACAAACATTTGCTCAAACGAAATTTGGTTCATTGAAATCTAAACATGCAGGACGACGAAATCAATCAAAGTAACAAACATTTTTCATTTCATTTCGATTATTATTATTTTATTTGGTCTCTTTATTTAGAATGTTACCAAGTGAATTTTCTGCTTATATCAAACAAAAAGAACAAATACAACAATCAAGAATATTGCAAATGCCATTTGTTGATAATAATAATACATTTATTCCATCGTCATCATCAGCTGTAATTCGACCACCGAATTATAGAAATTATTATAATCCACATGTAACACATTCACAATTTAATTCATCAATATTTAATAATGATTCACCATTAAGACCAAATACATTACCATTAATAAATGGACAGTCATCAATTTACATTGAACAACAAATGACCAGTTCAACATCTTAAAAACAATCTTTTTTTTCTTTTCTGTTCTTTTGTTATATTTATTTATTTATTTATTTATTTACTTATTTATTTAATCGTTGTTTTTTTTTTCTTTTATTTTCTTTTCTTTTGGTTATATGGTCTCGGTTTTGTACTCTTTTCGTATTTTATCTTATTATTATATAATTTATTAATCGATGTTTTTTTTTTTGTTTTTTTTTGTTGTATTTGTTTTGTGTTATTTTATCTTCATCCACAAAATGACAGAACAGTTTCATTCCTATTTCTCCCACATTTTTTTCCATGTATATAGAATACAATATATTGTTCCACATTCCAATAAGGTGAATAATAACCAATGTTGTAGAAGTTTATCATCACCAGTAAATAGTTTTATTTTGTCAAAAAAGAAAAAGAAATATTTAACATATGTTCTTGTTTTTTTTAATGTCTCATTAGAATCATGTTTTTTTTTAATGTCGCATTAGAATCATGTTTTTTCATTAATCATTTGCTTCAACATTTCGAAATAGATAACTCATCGATTCTTGATTATGTATACGACGAATAGCTTCAGATAAAAGAAGACTTATATCAACTGTTTTGATTTTAGTACATTGAAGTTTAGCAAATTCGTGTGGAACAGTATTTGTAACAACAACTTCTGATATTTGAGATTCTTCTATTAATGATGGAGCATCATTTGTAAACAGAGCATGTGTTGCAAGTGCATATACTTTATATGCACCACGATCACAAAGAATATCAGCAGCTTGAACAAGACCAGCAACGTCGTCAATCATATCTTCAACAATGATAGCTATTCGACCACCTACATCACCAACAACGTCCATTGGTAATTTACCTTTGACAGAAACGCCTATAAAATAAAGAAAATTTAATAGGACTATATTAGTTTTATTATTATTTGTTTTTTTTTTTTTTGTTATGAATTATTATTGTGTATTGTATGAAATCACACATCTCACAAATTTATTTTCTTTCTTGTTTAATTTCATCAGCATATGAGTAGCGGAAACGGATCTTGAAGACCGGATATCGTATTTCCTATGGCAACACATTTTCCATTAGGAATATGAATTTTGAAAAGTTCGTTTTTTAATCAATTTAAATGATTTGACAATATTTTTGTGTTTTTTTGGTAAAAGTAATAAAAAAATAATTTAGAACAAGAAATGATTAATTTATTATTAGTCTAAACTAGTGTCATGCAATGAGAAAAAAACAATCTTTTAAATTTAATAATTCCTCTATTTCTATACAGAAAACTACAAAATCTTAATTGTGGACCTGCTCTTCCGCTTGTTTGACTTATAAAAACTAAGATTCATGCAGAAAAACACGCGTCGTTATATATGTATATATATATATAAATATAAATGTAGATAGATAATAATTACTTGAGCCTAAGGCAAGTGATGGAATAGTGAATACACTTCGTCGTTTTGACATAGATTCAGGAGAATCTTGTAAGCTAGCTGATGGTGGTGGTGGTGAATTTCGTCCATCAGTTTCTTCACAGTCAGCTTCTCGATCTTGACAACCATGTATAACAGCAATATTTAATTTTAATCTCTGAGCAAAACCAGTAACACGTTTAGCTTGGTTAGGTGTACGTGCTACAATTACGGAATTACGCCAATCAGGAATCTACGATAAAGACGAAAAGAAAAGAATGTGTTTTTTTTTCAAGAATAAAACTAATTAATTTTTCTTTTTGGTATACTTGTTGTTGAATGTAATCAAGTAGAAAAGATGACGCCCGTAAATTGTCAACTGGAATATCAAAAAAGCCTTGAATTTCTTTTTGATGTAAATCAACTGTTATTAAATGTGTTAATCCTGCTCTAACAAGCATTTGTGCAACAAGTTTCATTGTAATACATCCGCGTTTTTTTTGTTTACTTTGTTTACTGTCTAAATAAGACGAATATTAAAGAAATTATTTTAAAATTAACTCACAAGGTAAATAAGGTAAAACTCCCTAAAAGATAATATTTTATTATTATATATTTAAATAAGAGAAAACTTACAATTATATTTCTAGCACATGATGTTTTACATGCATAACTCATTATCATAAGTTCCATAAGATTATCATTTGGATCTCTATATTATAAAAATTAACTTGAAATAAGTTATCAAACTATGATTTGCTTTACTTTGTTGACCCTGTTTGAATAATAAATACATCTTTACTACGAACAGATTCACGAATTTCAACATGAGTTTCTATATTGAAATAAATGTATAAATTATTGATTCAATTCAATTTATTAACCTTTATCAGATTTTTTATAAACACGACATTCTCCAAGTGGCTTAATTCGACTAGAAAAAAAAACAAGAAATTCTATTTAAATATTTGTGAAATATAAATAATTATTTAAAACAAAAATAAAACTCAAGTAGCAATGCATTTAAAAACAACAATATAAAAGAAAAACAACGTGCATATTTCAATCAAAACATATACGTACTGACTACTTTCTGTCTTGTATGAATAAACAATTCTATAATAAAACAAAGAAAAGCAGCGTACACCAAAGAATTATCATAACTACGAGGAAAGTTATTTAGAATAAAAGCTGTGAGAAATTGTGTATATTAATTAATAGTAATATATCTATGAAGTAAAGTGGGAGGTAAAGATACCAAATATAACATACCTTGATATATTTTCAGCCAATTCCGGATATGAATTACCGGTAAGAATAACTACAATAATAATAATAAATGAATATTATATTAATATTTATTTTTCTTTGTTAAAAAACAATTAGATGACTATTTATACTTTTGTAATAACAAATAAAAATTTTCATAAAGTATCAAAATATCATTGAACATTCAGAGAGAAGTCCTCGAACCAATAAATTACTTTTGAGTCAACACTATGAGCTTTTTGTAGATTCAAATGAACTATGAATACTCTGTAAATAGCTCGTAACCGCAGCTTTTATTACTGCCGAGATACTTCCCTTTTGTGGTACTTTTAAAATGAATGTCATGATCTCCTTCAGGAGCATCAGATGATTTGCTTTTATCCTGAGATAAAAAAAGCATATCAAATCTATCAGTTTATATAAGCGATATAAAAGACACACTATTACCATAGCTATGCCTTAGGATAGGAATAGCAATAAGATCTGAAACATTGACAATAAAATATTTTAATTAAGACCTATCTCTATCTCTATGTCAATTTTCAGATTGAAATTCGAAAATCAGTTTTTTTGATGTACTTGCATTTAATAAAAAAAATATCATAAAAGTATAATACATCCACAATAATAAGCTAGGAGCATGAACTCTTTTCAGGATATTTATAGTTCATTTGAATCTACATAATGCATATAGTATCGATTGAGAAGCGATTTATCAGTTGGAAGGCATCGCTCGTTAGATTGATATATTCCCTTAGGAGTTTTGTATTAACTGATAGGAATGAATACAAAATTTCATCTTTCATATTATCTTACTTACCCATTTCAGATCGACTAGAACGATCTGCAGACATCCTGTTTTGTTTTAATCTAAAAATAAAACATATTTAGATTCAATGGATAATGAATATCTGAGATAAGTGAAATATTTCTATTGGTTTACAATGTTATAAAAATAAAAATAACTATGTTAATCTATTGTTTGTTCTATGATCGGTATTCTTCTTTCGATATTAAAATATGAAATTGACTCAAAAATCAATTAATTTAAATTTTAACACTAAATCAAATTTTTCCTGAAAAGATTTTTATAAATGGATAATAATTTATTTAAAACACAATGACTTTATCCTCATGCAGTGCTGTGAGTATGCAAATTATATCTTTTCTGTGATGAAAGTCAACTAGTGTTTCTTTTCATTCTATGAAAAAAAGGGGTATCCGCAGGTCAGCAGCATTGGGAAGAGCCGAACATCTTTTTGCGAATCGATGAGAAACACAAAAAAAAAAGATACTATGCTGGAAGTCTGCTGAAGAAAAACGGAAACTTTTCATGATTGTGGAGAAGATCGATACTCCGCTTGGGATGAATATCTCTAAAAAAAGTACTACGGGCACTAAATAACAAAAGAAACCTTTTCAAAAACAACTATGCGGCTTATGATTCGCTAGGAAACAAACAAGTAATAAAAATATTTTTCTATTTCTTTTCTTTTCTTCTTTTTGATTTTACTTTATCATTTGAGTTTTTAAATAACCAATAATTCTTTTATGTCGCTAGTTTACAGAG